CCTTAGGAGATGTAACAAAGTTTACGTCTCAATTTGTGACTATGTGCATTTCACATATAAAAAAACCAGGAAATCTTTGAAATTTGAATAGTTGAGACCTTGATTTTTCTTGTACTAGATCTCATAACTTAAGTCCGTATGGCACGGTCCAGTTTTCCACTCATAAAATGGATCATTATTGAACACAATAAAACATTCAGAATAATCTGAATCATTTTCTGTGGCAAAATTCTGTGCTGTGTGACACGACATATAAGATATCACAGATAAGATATCATGAAAATACAGATCTTCATGAGATAAATCGATTTTTTAGAAAATTGAGATGATTTGACTGTGAAAAATACCCGGTCCACAATATTTTATGAAGAAACACACGAGTGAAGTGCTTCCCAGGGGGGGCTAGGGAAAAATTTCGAAAACTTTTCGTCGTGTATTTTCATGAGATAAATCGATTTTTAGGAAAATTCAGTTATTTGAATTGCGAAAATACCCAGTCCGCAAGATTTTATGGAAAACACAGGTGTAAAGTGCTCCCCAGGGGGACTAGAGAAAAAATTCAAGAACTTATCATCGTGTATTTTCATGAGATTAATCGATTTTTGATAAAATTGGGCTGATTTGTCTTGCGAAAATACCCAGTCCGCATGATTTTATGAAAAAACACACGAGTAAAGTGCTCCCCAGGGAGCTGGGGAAAAATCTCGAAAACTTTTCATCGTGTAGTTCGATGAGCTGAATCCAGATAGGCAATTAAAACAACGATTTGTTTGATGGAAATAGCCAGTCCGCAGCATTTCTTTCAGTCCGCAAATCATACTCACCCCCCTGTACATACTCTTCACAAAAATTATAACCATCGATATTGTATTTTCTCGAGTCAAGTTTTATTCTACAATGAAATCGACCATAAAATATTATGCCTGTTTGAGTAGGCGTCTGCCTCTGAATATTTCGCGAGCCGCAGACAGGGAAGATAGTTAATTAGGCACTATATTGATGAGCGAATCGCATGTCGGAAAATACCTTTCCATGTTCATGCCTTTGGAGAATCTCATATCGTGACGATAATAATTGATAAATAGATTTCCCCATTAAATTATTGATAATGTAGTGCCTAGAGGAAATATCCGGATATTGCTAATATTTTTCAGCGGAACAGCCGAGTGGATGTATAGGTACCTACTCGAAATCGTTCGAAAGGGTTATCGAATTACATAATATATACAGAGTGTCTCATTAGTCATGGATCAAAAGATGTGGGGTGATAGGGGGGGGGTCACTTGCAATCAAACTAACGTTTTATGTGGTTATCAAATTGTTGGTTCAAGTTATTCAATTCTTCTGAAAAAACGCGACCCACTTGAAAAAAAAACACAAAAAGGCTGTCTGAAATAACCCCTTATATGTTATACCATATCGGAATCTATATTGAATGGATAACTTTTTCTTATAATTTGAAATAATCCAAATGGCAATAACTTGACTATTAACATTTCCACGTTTTTTTTATCTTTATGAGCTATATATTATACCATTCCACTTTGAGTTATCATCATAGACTCCTTCCAAAGATTTCCACGGGGCTTGAAGGGGAAAAATAATTGACTCGATACTTTGGCGGGGGCATGGGGGGGGGGGTAATTACCCCCCTTTTACCTCTCCCTGGATCCGTCTCTGATAACCTACCCTAACCTATCAATCAAAAATAACTCAGACATATTAGGAAGTAATTTAAGTTTACTAAATTTGTTTTTCCAACTTGTTATAATCTCGCTCGCCGCCCTTTCTGGAAACATATATAGTCATGTAATTATTGCAGACAGCCGGTAGGTAGTCATAATCTTGAGGTGGAAAAATCCAACCTATTGAACTGATTCTGTCTCAATAAATCAACTAGCTTTCCTTCAACACTTTATAACCTATGTCTCAGAAACTGAAGGAAAAATGTATGACTCGCCTCAAATCTTCTAATGATTTTGGACTGTAGGTTAATTCACATCGCAGGCAGAGTTCCTCTACTTTTTGGTCGACTATTATCAAATTGACAATTCCAGACTCTATGAATTGTTCAAAAAAATTCGACAATTTTGTTTTTTGAAAGAAAATAATTTCTCGCACCTTGCCGTATTCATGTAGTAAGGGTATATGTAATTACCTCTACTTGTTCCTTATATCTTCCATTGTTCATCTTTGCTTCAGTCTCTGTCCAGGTAATAAGTAGATCCTCCAAATAAAATAACAGCGCAGCAGACATAGCTGAGTATATATAAGTATACCTACCTATATGAGAATAATTAAAGGATACTAGGTTTCAAGTAGGTACATATAAATAGATATGTACTAAACTACCTATCTAAACAATCCTCACAATATTAGGTATATAGTTATAGTGAGATCTTTTCATTCCAATGAATTCCATTAAAGCAGCAACAAATGGAATTCGTTAGAGGATGAACATCTGATCCCTTTTACTTTCAAGCACAGAGTAGGTGTATGTTCCTTTTGAACAGACTCAGCGTGTTTATCCCTAGGGAAATCAAGAGACGCCTAGTTACCATGCAATAGAGGAAAGAGAGGTGCACCACAAAATGGACAAGTCTCAGTTAATTATCTATCATGCCGCTGTGGGCTCCTTTTATCTGTTATTCCTGAATACTTACCCTTTGAAATTCATAATATATAACACAAAAATTAGGTGTTTATAAATATGTTATGTATTTAAGAATATTTATTATATACATATCTCATTTTCAGCTTTTTTCATTACTTTCAATAGAACAGTCCCAGAGAAGTCCAATATGAGTCTCTATAGAGGGTTCTTGAATTTTTTTCTTCCCAAGTTCATGAATAAATCAAAGTGAATGAGTTATACATTTATTTTCTTAACGAAATTATTATGAATTGATCAGACCTCAAAACTCCGGCTGTGATATTACCACTTTCATACTGGATCATTTTCCTTTCGCTGTGGAAGAATTATACTTGCTAATAGGACTTTTAAATCCCTGGAGAATAGCGAAGACGATACGATGATGTCCTCTAATTCTAGAATAATTGAAATAACCAGCGAGACTTATCCAAATCGCTATTTTGTCGGATCCTCTGTAAAACATGAGTCTTAATTCCTTGATTCCTTGCAACCCTGACTGGATAATGAAAAGATATTGTGAATTAACTAAATTTTCTCGTAAACTTAGGAGGGTGTTGAGGGTTGAAATCGCTCACACTACATATAGGTATTGGAAAATTTGTTTCTTCCATCATAGGATGATATATAAATTCAGATCAGATATAATAACTAATTGAAAATTATTATTCTGCTAATTTGCAATTCATGCTTCATACCTATTAACGGTAGCAAAAACTTCGAATTGATACGACATCCCACCAAAAACAGTTACATCACAGGGATATCACAGCGATGTAACAATTGTGACCTGCGATATCGCATTCTTTGTCGCAAAGACGTCGTGGCGATGTCAGATAGAGATGTTATTTTGTCCCACTCAAGTTTCATCCATGCGGCGTCGCTGCGATATAAGTTCTCTGCGATACAACAGCGATATATTTTTTGCAATATGATTGCGATATGTTATTTGTGATGGAAAAGCGATGTGTTTTTGCCATTAAACTATACGATGTGATGCGAGATGACGCAGTAAAACGAAAAAAAAAGTGTCCTCAAACATGGTGTGATAATAGGTAAACCACTGACTTCTGATGATATCTTTATATTGTGATAATGTGATGTTTTGACTGGTTGGTTGGTGGTCCTTCGGGTCTCCTGTCCATTTAATCGCCTTTTCAGCAGCGCTATCCTTGGTACCTAAGAATCTCTATCAGAATGAGATCAGTTACTCGTATTTGTATCAAAAATTATGTAGTGAGTGTCGGCGAGATGTAAGCAAACCAAGAATAGTTTGATAGCAATGTAGAGAGAACTTATATTCATGTATTGGTTTTCATTGTTGCCTCATCATGACATCTTAGAGATGTCATGTCGCAGATGTTTGCTTCTGTACGTCGCAACGATGGACAATTCGTGATATCGCAGTGTTGCTTCATCGCGACATCTCAGAGATATGTTGAAGATGTGTTTGCTTCTGGTCGCCACGATGAAACATTCGTGATATCGCAGTGTTCCTTCATCGCGATATCTCAGAGATATGTATTTACTTCTGTACATCGCAGCGATGGAACATTCGTGTTTTGCCTCATGGCAACATCTCAGAGATATCATGTCGGAGATGTGTTTGCTTATGTACATCGCAACGATGGACAATTCGTGATATCGCAGTGTTGCTTCATCGTGACATCTCAGAGATATGTTGAAGATGTGTTTGCTTCTGATCGCCACGATGAAACAGTCGTCGTGATATCGCAGTGTTCCTTCATCGCGATATCTCGGAGATATGTATTTGCTTCTGTACATCGCAGCGATGGAACATTCGTGTTTTGCCTCATGGCGACATCTCAGAGATATCATGTCGGAGATGTGTTTGCTTATGTACATCGCAGCATAGGAACATTCGTAATATCGCAGTGTTTCCTCATCGCGACTTTTCAGATATGTCATGTCGCAGAGATGTGTTTGCTGCGATGGAACGTTTGTGATATCGCACTGTTACCTAAACGCAGCATCTCAATCATGTCACAGATGTGTTGGCTGGGTCATTTAAGTACATTTTGCCGACATCTATCGGAATCATTCAGAACATCTTGCCTACGCATAATATGGAGATTCAAATATCACCCACTAATCCCCTGTTCAGTACAGTTCATAAAAATATTTTGGAAAGTTTCATCTAGTAGTTGAATGATTTACCTACCGTTTTCAAACTCATAAGAAGAAGAAATGCAACACCGCATCGCTATGATCCGGAAGGTCTATACTCTCGACTGGCTACCACGGCGACGGCAAACACTGATACCACACAGTTATGACAGTTATCAAGAATGCTGCTGTAGTTGCAATAATTTTATCGAGGAAAGTAAATCAAGAATGCTGCTGTATAGTTTCAATAATTTTATTGACAAAAGTAAATACATGTTTATAGCACAGCTGCTGAAATGAATATACAAGTAGTAAGCACCAGGTAGGGTATGATTCGTTTCTTGTTATAATTCACTATCTTAAGACACTGGAGAAAAAATCAACCCATACAATCATGTATGTACATTACAAGGCCTCTTATCACGTGTAGAATCACGTTCTACATTTAAAATAGAATATTGATATGTTGATATTGTCATTCAGATACTTCGTAAAGCTAGATATACCTACTATATGTCACAAATCTTGACTGTATTTACACAGAACAAACGGGGTAAATCTGATCTTCATATAACAGTATCTTCACGTGTTCATACTGACTTGAATTATTTGAATGGACTGATATGTGAAGTTCTGCTCTACCCGCGCAAAAAAATTCTGACCTCATCTATAAATATTGCTAGGATGGTTTCTCAGAAAAAAAAACAATTATTCTAAGAACCATCTGATACCTAGAAAAATGACGAAGATACGAGGATGTTTGGATTTGAGAGACAAATGTATGAATTAAAAAATAAAATTAGATTATGGCTCATGAGAATTGTTGAAATGAAAACATGTTTTGCCATCTGTGACGTCATTGAAAATGAAAGAATTCATAAATTAAATGTTGGAAAATGACCAGTATTTAGATTTTGTTTTAGTAACTTGACCAGTGAATAAGGACCCAAATTTATATGGTGCTCATTATCTTGATAGAAGAAAGACAATAAGTTAAAAGAGAGTAAAAAAGAATCATTAGAGAATAGAAAATAAAACTGATAAAAAAATACTATTGTTTAAAACAGCAATTGAAGCGCGAAATGTATAAAAGTTTCTATAATTATATGTCTATTATATCATAAAATACTCTGTTTTCTTTTTCTTTTTACAAATATATCATCATCTAATTATATAAAAAAAATAAAGAATCATAATGTCCATCCATGAATCTTACATCAGTGGAGTATAAATTATTTAAAAGTTAATGGAAAATGCATGGATCTCAAAAATCATAGAAAAAAAATATCATACACCTTAATTGAATTTTCCAAAATAAAAACTCTTGAGAGCATGAACTCTAAATTATACATATGCCACTTGTCCCAGCTAAAATGACTTCCTTTTGATTCACCTCTTGATCAGATGATTAAAAAATTCGTGAGTCATTTCAGCTGGGAAAGAGTGTACAATATATTTATATGATACACAAAAATAAACTCATTTTGGTAGATAAGTAAAAACACGTATTTACAATACCCTCAATGGGGACAAAAAACAAAGTAATCCAGAATAACAGCATAATTTTTTGCAGAAGAAAATGCAAGCATGTTAATCTAGCCGCCTTATATACTTATGTACAGTGTGAAGAATAAATAGAATATTTGGAAAACTTCGTTTCATGAGCGAATAGATGAAGTGGGAAAAACCGCAAAAAGTATGCACAATGTATCACATGATATTGATTCATCAAAAATTCAAATATATAGCACCTATGGAGCCAATGGCACAAATGCATATATATCCTCACAGCCAAACACTTAATTTTTTCTTCAAATACTGACTTTACAAAACTTACATTTATTTTAAGAATGTTAGTAACTTTAATGGCTTGTATAGGTGCTACATGAGGAAGGAAAGTTTTACGTACAGTTTAAAATCTGAGATATATACAATATAAATACACAGAACAATATACAACTATACAATCGATGGTCTCCCACTGAAGATCAGTTCAAGAATTTTCGGCATTTCCGAGATCCACACGTACACGGTATTTTATCCTCTTCAAACGGAAATTTGTAGTCATATGTGAGTTCCTCCCCACTTAATATCCTTCTCAGTGCAAAAATTATTATGTGTTTATGTCCCAGAATTTCAACCACTCTCGAATAACAATTCGGCTGAAACATCAACTCAAATCACATAACTTTCTAATAACAAATAATGTGAAATAACTGATATACATATAACAAGTAGGTATTGCTGAAAGTGAAAATTGACTTGAATGGCTATAAAGTAAAGAATGTGAATGTTCACTTACATCACAGGAATGATTGATGAATCTAGCAGCATTCCCTTTCATTGTGGCATCTACTACAAAATTATCATCAACACGGAACATGTAACATCCGATGTCCTTGGAGTTATAATATTTCTCTCTCTTATCTGTCAAAATTGATCTGATCACCTGCAATTAACAACATTCAGGTCATCTACTATGCTATATTAATTCAATTTTGTAAACACAATTGTCTTTTTTCACATGAATGAGTAGGTGCTGTTAGTGATGTGAAGGGGGGAACGTTCCCTTCGTGCTGTGGGGAACGTTCGCGAATGTTCGAGCAACATAAATCGATCGTACGCGCATGATAGAGCGTGCTTTAGCACGAGCGAGAATTTTCAGCACACACGAGAATTTTCAGCACGAACGAGAATTTTCAGCACGATCCCGACCAATCAGCGCTCTTCATCCGCTTGTATCGCATGTGAGTCCCCTTGTTTTGTTTTGGTTTCGTTTTTCAATATGTCCGGAAGAAAATGCGCGGCATTTTATTTCTTTCTTCATAAAAAACGTAATAGTAAAGACGTTTATTCTTGCAAATTTTGTTATTATGAATATAGCCGGCATGCCACACGAATGGCAAGTCATCTGATAAAATGTGTGAAATGTCCCGAGTCGGTAAGGAATGAATTGATACTGAAAATCAATAAAATTTTTGTTCCTTTCAAAGATTTTCAAAAAGGAAACATCAAAATCAACGGAACTGATTGAACCTCAATGTTTGGAATCCTTCATTCCTTCAGAGACTTCCACAGCTGGTTAAGATCTTGGTAATCAGGTTCAGGGTCCATCATCAAAAAATTCTGAATTTGAGAACGAGACTGATGAGTCTGAAGAGGATACCAGGCCCTACAGTGTCCACGATGCGGATACCAGAATGTTTCAAAGGGGATATTGAAGATTTGGAGTAGATGAAGTAGAGTTGGTTTATAGCTAGTTTATAGGTGAAACATATTACTTCTCAACCTAACATGGTATTTTCAGTTCATTTTTATATTCAATTGTTACTTGTGTATGTTTTTGGATACTTTACTACACCCCAAACATAAATTCCCGGGTTTTTTTCGTTTATGCGTGTTTATTCTCGTTCATGCTCGTTCGTGCTCGGGGAACGTTCTCCAAAAATACTTTCTCGAGAATTTTACCTCACGTGCTGTGATATTCATCTAAATACAATTTATCAATTTTCTTTTTTTTTAAATGAACCGAGAAAGAATTGATATTTTCATTACATAGAGAATGCGAATTCTCAATGTATTTCTTTATATAAATATATATCCATTTTTCTATGTTCATAATTATATCTGAGAATATTCTTTTTCAACAATTTATCATGATTACTATTACTTACTTCTCCTGCATATTCAATCACCATTTCTCCAGCTTCGATATCTCTAAGACAAAATAATCCTCGTCCATGAATCAATGACCTATAAACACCAACTGAGTATTTTGATGTAAGCTTTAACTGTCGGAATTTCATTGCCATTGGTAAATTCACCACCCTCCTATAATAAACAAATACAAATCGCGTAAGTAAAAAAAAATTGTAAACAAATTGTTAAAGTCTTATTGAAAAATTTGCCAAGTTAACGCTAAAATTTACCTTGGCAACAGTTCCAGTGTATCCAGAGAAATTTCTTCCGGCTGCCTATGCTTAGAAGAAAGCCATCCAAACATGTCATAAGGCTCACAATTGTGTTTGTCATATGGAACACATCTGATGGTCCCGTGGATGTGGTCCTGGGCGTATTCATCATCAATGTCACTGGGATGAGGTGGAAAATTGAAAACAGATTTGTACTTGGTACATTTAGTTGCTCCTGGCAACTGTTCAATCAGATACTTCAAGCCATTCGATTTGAATCCCAAGAATTGAACAGAATTCAACATGCTGTTGCTATCTGTCGGCAAAGGTGGCATATTATGTGCTGCTCTGGCTACTTGAACAGCATCTAAAACCCTAGTCCAAAGATCGGACACTGAAGATGACGAATACTTCAAGCCATCTTGCGTTTCCATGGTGTACAATATGGATGGTGTGTTATCATTTTCCTTCTTGGCGCATTGACTTTTAGGTATGTCCTCGGCTTTTTCTTTCGCCTCGAACTGTTCTTGTTCCTTTTCTTGGCCTCTAAGCTGGGTCTGCTGAGTTGAAGGAGTCTGGGAGAAACTGTTGGACTTGATAGGCCTCAATGGTGCCACCTGGATAGGTTGTTTGGCAGTGAAATTACTTATGATATAAGATCCATCTTGACCTTGTTTCTGGAATACTAGTTTCAAAGATGTATCCAGCTTAGTATCTTCAGGAATTGATATTTCAATTGGTTTTAGAGATTGGGGATCTGGCAACGGCAATTTTTCTTCTTCTACGGCCTTCAAGCTAAGATCAAAGTGTAACGTTTCAATTTTCTGTACAGTTTCCAATGTTTTAGGCTCGATGGGTTCTTGTTTGAAACATTCCTCTTTTTTAATGTCCTTCACGATATCTTGAATGAGTTTCGGAGGAGCTACTGCTACTAGAGCTGTCAAAGCAGGTTTGATGATCTTGGATTCAATCAGTTCCACTTTCTTGGGTTCAATTTTTGTCACGGCAGTTTTCGTAATGAGTTTGGCCGGAGGTTTGATAACCTCTAGCTTAATCGCCTGGATAGTTTTCTTCTTTTCCTCGATGAAGAATAGTTTCTCATCATCACAGCTTATCTTCTTGATCTCTTTATTGACATTTGTAGGCATCGGAAGAACCCTACTCATCGGTCTTCCCTGGGTAATAGGAGGCTTAGGAATGGGTGTCACAATGTTTGTAGGAATGCCTTGCTCAGACGAAACGAACGGGGCAATGGGAAGTGTGATACTGTGCGCAGAAGCAATAGGAGTACATTGCTTATGTGATGTTAGTGACTGTGCATACTTCATAAGCTGAGGTTGGGACGGTTTTATTTCCACAGGACGGGAAATTTTCACCTCAACTTGAATCTGTGGTAAACTTTGTGGTTGAGGCTGGGAAAACCGTGACATTTCCATGGAGTGAGCTGGTAGCGGCGTTACTACCGGCTGAGGGATTATAACTGGCTGTGGGGTAATAACTGGCTGTGAAGAGATAACTGGTTGTGAAGTATTAACTGGTTGTGAGTTGATAATTGGTTGTGAATTGATAACTGGTTGTGAAGAGATGAGCGGTTGTGAACTGATAACTGGAGGTGGATTGCTTAGTGGTTGCGTGTTGATATAAGATTGAGAATGCATGATCGGTTGAGCGGTGACTACAGATTGCTGGTTGAGAACCGGCTGTGATGTAACAATAGGTTGTGAGGTAACCATTGGCTGTGGATTAACAATATGTGAATGGATCATAGGAGGTTGTGAATTAGCCACATGTTGTGAGCTCTGTGAATTTGTAATGGATTGTGTTATAGGTTGGGAATTAACAATAGAAGTGGGATTGACCATGGATTGTGAGTTGACTAATGGCTGCGAGTTTACTAGCTGTCCTGGATTGACTAATACAAAACTATTCGAGGCTACATCCAATACTGGCTCTAGTTTACTGGTCTGAAATACCTGTGTGGTGGTTGAGTAGCTGCTATTAGCTGTTAAAACGCCGGGCATGGTAGTCGGAAGGAACTGTTGTGACTGCATGACGGTATTCTGCACGATCGTTTCAAAACCGTAATACACTGGCTGTACTGTTTGCTGTTGAGACCAACCTAGAGTTCCGTTACTGTCCATGACTAGCTGATTCTCGACGCGTGGTTGTTGTATATACATTCCTTGTTGTAAACCTGGTACTATACTGATAATATTATTTTCTGGCTGTATTTGTACTATCGACTGAGTGGGTACTGTATTCACTTGGGGCGATATAGTAGCAACGTATTGTAAATTCTGTCCAGGTTGTTGGAAAGCGTCCATCAATGTAGGTACATAATTCGTGGACGGAAGGTGTTGCACTATCATCTGTCCGGTGCTTTGTGTCGGGAAAATCAAGGTATCTCCTTCGTCGAAATGTGGACGTTTAGCTGCGATCGTCCGACTACGCCCTTTGGTTTTGAGTGTTTTCTGGGCTATCATCGTAGGTTTAGAGATATGTTTCACCCACTGGTTTCCTGGCACATTGACGGTCTGTAATACTGGGTTAGTTATAAGTTTACTGAACTGATTTTGCGGTCCAACATTCAAAATGGCATTGTTGTACGGGAGTGACTGGATAGTTACTGACTGGGCCTGGTGAAAATCAATCGGCTGCTGGTTCATCTGATTCAAATTGGACTGGACAGGATTCAAAGCAATAGACCCATTGGGATTTATAGAAACCATCTGACTCCCAGCATAATTTGTGCTGGGGTTCACCTGGATGGTATTTTGTGGCAAACACATTGGCACACTCTGATTCACACAGAATTGTGTCTGATTCGGATGGAGCATCGGTGCGTCATTCAGCATGCTCGGCTGAGTTACAGTGAACGTATGATCAGTCTGGGAGGGTTCCAAACCAATGGAAGTCACTGGTACGGTTTGTAACAAAGATTTTTGTTCAATCAGATGCGGTAAATTCTGAATGACCACTTCTCCTTGTGGACTAGTTAATATGTCAGATGCGGATTTTGAAGCAACATAGCTTTGAGTATTAAGGACTGAAGTATGTATTTCACTTTGGTATGACTCATAGGAAGATATCACAACAGGCGTTTCGTTGATATCTAGCAGGACCTGATTATCAACTAGGTTTTGAGATGGATTCATGTACGTGACGATGGCTTCTTGATCAGCGTTCATTTCTGAATCGCTCTCACTGGTACAAAGCATTTCACAAGACTCCAAGTGTCGTTTATAACTAGCTTGGGTACGGTAAGTAGACTGGCATTTATCACATGTAACTGGTTCTTCAGAAATGTAAGTGCCCCACGGGTTTTCGGTTGTTAAGCCTGTAGGGGAACCACACTCACTAGAGCTGCCATCATCGCAATTACCATCAACCTGTAGAAGTTGATAAATCATACTGTTTTCCCTAGCTGCTGCTAATTTCCTTTTTTTCATCGCAGGAGACATGGAACTGTCTAGCTTACAGCTTAGCGTGAGGCTGCAAGATCTTTGGGAAGCTCGTGATTTCACCAGTGAGTCGATCTTGTTGCCTCGTTTGTTTTTATCCAGATCTATATCTTCTTCTAGCTCAGATTTCTTGCAACTCTCTGTGAAGCTCTCCAAGTTGCTCAAATCTGTTTTATAGTCCATGTTGATCAGATCGTCATATGATAACTTTGGAAAAATATCTTGCACGGAAATTCCATCCAGTAAATCATGCGGGAGTTCCTCGAGAATAGCATCTGTCAGTTCTGGGGACAAAATATCGCCGTTTTGCTGTTCCTCGTCGTCCTCCGATTCTGTATCGGAAATTTTGCGATCAACATCTTTTTGCCAGGCATTCATCTCTTTCATCATTTTGTCCACAGCTGGTTTGTCTAACGTGTGATCCACCGTGAAATTCCTGTCGACAGCTAGAGTGTAATTACTGCGACTTTGTATGGATGTGGTGATTGTGTAAGGAACAAGTTTCCAAGGCTCCACAGTTGACCAGAACAGTCTAGTACATACGAACCCCATCGGAATTATGGCCTCGCAGCTGTCTGATACTGCCGGCTCAATTTTTCCTAAATTTTTTACACACAGAGAACCTACCATGAAATTGACCCGATGTATCTCGGAGTATTTCCGCTTTTTCCTATCTAGTTCCACATAAACAGATCTATGTACTTCAAGGTCCTTGTCCACCGTTATGACGTGACTATTTCCCGGTAGATCATGAATTGCGCAATACACAGTTTTATCGTGCATGAAATTCAGCTTTGCTGTCCTGGCACAGCTGAAGTGAAAGGTTTCGTGACAGCCTTTGTAGCAGCACCCGATGCTGGCGCCTTTTTGTTTACATTGTGCACACCGAATCAACCGTCCCCTATTCAGAGCATTTTGGACGTTTTGTAAAGATCCGTCGATTTCTTCGTAAACCTCAGATGACCAGAGAGCACAGTTGACGTGCACCCACTCATTTTGACCACAATACAACAATCTTGATTCCTGATGTTTCGGTCCGTCTCCTAGGCCTTTGCAGAACCCACAAAATCTAGGATCAGGGGTGGATAGTAGAATTTCCACGTCGGCTTTTTCTTCTGTTTGTATATAGTTTTGAGATTCTTCTTGAGGTAGGGTTTTCACACATGTCGGCTCGTCGGCTTCCAGAGATTGCTGATACCAAGGAAAAACGTCCTGGAATATGTTCTGGTAGATCCTCAACAGCTGTTCACAATTGAGTGACTTGAGATAGTGCTCAACTTCTTTGTTGAATTCTCGGACAGATCTGTATTCATTGGAGTTGAGTTTATTCTTGATATCCACCATGGATACAGTGCTTGAACCCTTAGTATATGCCGCTTCATATTTATCGTTTTCTTCGAAAGAATATATTTTATGTACATCTTGCATATCTTTGCTGTAGTTATTGTTATCCAAATCAGCATCTTCATTGGAGAACGTTATTTTCCTAACATTTGTGATGGTTTTGCTTGAAGATGCCGAGTTGTTCAGAGGGCTCCACTTGAGTAGATTCCTAGCCGTTTTGTTTTTGCTCAGGAGCCTCAATATTTGGTTGAAACAAGACCTCAATTCACTAGTAACAGCTGTCCGCCATTGGGGAGTTTTTGATTTGCAGCAACAGGAACAAATATATTCTATAGATTCTGGAAGAATACCCAGCATCTGATATTGTTCTTCTTTCAGGTTCTCACATTTGGCATGTACCCATTTCATACACTTGGCACATTCCATCATCTAAACAGAATAAGAGCTCTGGTCAGCTAGCAGAAAGACCTTGATATTTTGGTTTTTTTTTTCAACGGACATAAGTCAAAGCTAAATAATTTTGCTATGACCGTTTTCTGCTAGCTCAACGTGAGGTTGGCAAATCTAATTTGAAAACAACGATCATTTGAATGATGAGAAAAATATTTGTGAAAATTCAGGATAAGTACATAGAATTTTGCATTCATGGAAACCATTTTGCATATTGGGTCACTCCCGGTTTTGCTATACCGGAAATGATACTCATCATCTATAAGACGTGATTTATATCAACTCACGGCAAATTATTCATTAGGTTGTCTCCACCAAACGGAGTTAACAAGATGAGAAACTAAAGAAATAATATAAGCCTCTAGAATCTAGATTGTCATAATCCTAATCAGGTATCGGAAACAATGATTGTCGGTAGTTGTAAAAAATATTCATGATGTGTATTGGTGAGTAATCATACCTGACGTAATCATGCCTGATGTAATCATGACATGACATGACTGGTAAATGAGAGTAGATTTCTTTACTTAAAGAACGTTTTTGCAATAGGAAGATCACTTGATTCAAACAATAAAAATACACATTATGATATGTATCAATTTTTGTGCTTCCATCTGTAGGTCTGTCAGGTGCTGCCAGTCTCACTCATCTCACACATCTCTCCATGTATTGTTTACAGAAAAGTGAAGAATCCTTATTTTGTACCCTTACAAAAATTACTATAACTATGATGAAATCTGGAACCCCTGACCCCTCAAAACCAATGAGGTGATCAAACCAGTGTTAACAGATAAAATCAGCCTGACTGTCTCAGTATATTTATAGGTTTAAATACATATGAAATATTGTAAATAACCTTGAATTACATGAAAATTTTACGAAATTTTATGAAAGTCTATAAGTAAACTTTTTTCCATATGTTGATATAAATCACATTATACATATAAATATCCTACAGATAACCAACTACCAATTTTGTTTTACACTTTGTATCTGGCACTCCTACCCCATTGTGAATATTTGCTATTTTGGTTTTATGCAAAAGCTCTGTTTTTCAAGTTTTTTGTGCTTAAATTTAAAGGAAAATAATTTTCTTGGGAAAGCCAAATTGAAACCATCATCATGGTTCAACCAAATCAGAATTCTTACCTTTGAACAACATTCATTTTCATCATAACAGTGCTGGCATATTGGACAAAAGTTTCCTTTTTTTCTAGACTTGAAACAGGTGATGCATAAAGGCAGGTTTCCAATAAATTTGGTTATATTTTCAGTTCCACAGCTCTTACAATTCAAACATCTTGAACAAACCTGAAATTGAAAATTATTCATTTTATCAAAGAACAAGTGTCATCACAATTGATTCCAACAAACAAAACTTGAAAATTGTTCTACTCACTGTTGGCTTATCCTCACTATTCCACTTTGTATTGAAACATTCTGGATGGTAAGCCTTCAGGCACTTTTGGCAGCTAACCTTTTGTCTGTCAAACTGATTACATTCACTACAAGTTGTACATCTGGGACAAACCCAAGTACACTGCTTAGGATTTTGACTAGCAGAAACACATTGGGGCTGCTCTAAACAGAATGAGTGGTAGGGCTCACAGCAGATAGAACAGTGGAGCATGGCTTCTTTCCCTGCACTGCCACAGAGAAAACAAATGGCTGGCATGGGGAACTGTTCAGATGCAATAATGCAGAAACCACTCTGGCATATACTGTCTGGGTCATAACCATCCCAAAAGTCTATGGAGATCCCATTTTGTGGTTCCAAGAGATTCTTCTTTCTTTCAGGTGCTTTAGTCTGACAAAAAAACAACACTATCACAACAACAAAATACTCTACATTCACATTATACAACTCATATACAAAAAATTCACCTGATTTTTCAAACATAAGAATATATTCTTAACAATGCCATTTTTTTTTTTAGATTATCAGAACAAGAGTATAAAAAGTAAACAGCATAGGTATAATAGCAGATAGGTTGACATATTGCTGATTTAAACAAAACAAGAGCATGCAGCTGAAAAAAGGATTTGGCAACCTATAGCAAACCTATGCTTCTGATAAATTAATATGTAAGTACTGAACATTTTCAACAAATCTTGCAATTGTATACTTATATGAAATAACAATAACTCACCTCTAGATAGTTCTGGGAACTGACAGACACATTTCTAATAAGCCTGTCCCTTCTAGTAACTGATTCAGAAGAATCACTGAAAGAACATTGTATTCTAGTTACTCTATCACTACAGTTTGATTCTGCTTCACTGGTATTACTATCACTCCTAGATGAAACAACTTTAACATCCATTATGTTCTTTTCATTCCCTGTTTTCTCCTCACTACTAGTTTTAATATCATTTGAAAGTTGATCTTGAGTATCACATTTCTTTTCTACTTCACCAAAGATTGCAATTGGTTGTCCCAACACTATAGAAGCACTACGACATACATGTTTAACACGAGGTCCTTTGAGGTCAATTTTCTGCCTTTTGATATCTGAATTAGGAACTGAAGCACTAGGTACTGATTGAAGTTTAGGATTTTTGAACCTCACAGGTCTTTGTTTTAAATTTGTTGTATCCTGAAGCTTATCTACTAGGATTTTTGGTGCTACATTTGCCTGCCATAGTAAAGGTGGAAGAGTATTGTTGAAGATGACATCCAAACCTTGCATATTCTTAGGAAGCATTAGAGTGAGACTTTGCTTCAATGATGGTGGCATATGAAATGAGCGAAGGCACATTTTCAACCAACATGCTGTACATCTTGCTCTGTAAGCACATTTAGTAAGTTTCCATTGCTGGTTTCTGACTACTGGTGGGACATGACAAGTGCCTTGTCCTTTATTGCAAACAAGCATAGTTTGAGTATTCTTATTGCCACAGGCTTGCCTCTTTATCATTTTTGAAATGAACTTTCTGCAAGACTCACAGCTATAAATGTTGAATTTTCTGGCCTGTTTTATGAAGCGGTAAAATCTCACTGCACCACATACCCCACATGTTACAGTTCCAGGAGGAGAACTGTTAGGTTTTGTGGAGAAAGGACCCTGAGTACCTATTTGGTTGGGTAATTTCAACCTAGCTTGCCTCAAGACTACTCTGTGTCCATTAGTAAATGTAGTTTTATCACTTTCATTATTACAGCTGCCACTCTCAGTATCTTCTGATTCTATTATTGATTTATCTTCATCCTGCTTCAGACAATGTCTCTTCCCAATGCCAATCTTTTTCTTTAGTGTGATGCCTTCATTCAATTCACTTATGAATCTCTTGTTTGGTTTAATCACTCTGGAAGAATGTACACTTCTTGTAGGCAATACAAATTTTCCTACTAGATTAGTAGGTTCCTTTGTTACTTTATTCCTACATGAAGCTGCATAGCTATGATGAACTGATTTCCTAGTAAGAGGTGTTCTTGGCCCTTTGTTCATCTTTGATTTTACAGAAGACTTGTTACACATTTTGGACAATAGACTCCTCTTGCTGGCATTTTTATTTCTTAGCACAGATTTCATCTTCCTGGTCAGTCTTCTTTTCATGGGGACTTTTCTGCTCACAGCATTTTCAGGGGGGACACTTTCACTATCACTTTCATTGACATCTTCCTCCTAAAATTCAAATAGAAATATGGAATTGCTAAAACGAAACCATAACTAGATGCAGATTATCACAGGAGAAAAATTTCCTTCAAAATATTATACTGTTTACCTGTTTGTTTTCTACAACAGAATCAACTGTCACTGAACTAGAGGATTCAACATTGGATATTTCTCCTGTTGGTGGAAGAACGTTCACCCTCTTTCGATGTATATGTTTAGTGGGCTTTCCAGGAAATTTTGATCGACCCATTTTGAATCCTTGGAGGATTACATTTTATTAATTACTTCATTATTTTACTTTCAATGCATCACGCATTCTTCTTGTAAAGAAACAGAATGCTATAGCTATATCGATATCGATAATGCAGAAAACGACATAAATTGACAGCTGCGTCATTTTGGTTCATATGAGATGGTTCATATAACGTCCTTTTGCTCAGTTTTGTTGTTTTTTGTTTGAATTCCGTTGTGAATATCGAATACATAATGTACGGAAGAAAAATATTTTTTTCTGCATACCTTCTTCCCAGAACGTATATTTTTTTTTATTTAAAATTACTTGAGAATAAAAAATAAAATAAAAAAATAGTGAAGGAAGAAGAAGACATATTACTTTCTTCTCTCTTCCGCGCAAAATATTCGAAGTAGATGTGTTACCGTTGCCCTTGCCAACCAGTGGTCCCAAAACATTACTGATATCCTTCTTCTTTCTTTATAGACTTTTACATAATTATCTCTAGCCAACAAATCACTTTGTGAAGAAAAACACATTTGTCAGTCACAAGTTCGAAAAATCATACAATTTTCCATACTCAATATTGTACCCTCAATTGTATCCATCATATTTACTCACTCACAAAATATCCTGAACACTTCAGATTATTTTACTCAAAAATCGAAAAAGTAGCGAATAATTCACATGGTGGATTGCTCAATAGTTTATATAGACACAGTATATTATCCTTTCACAAGAAAGGATGATATACTGTGATATATATGCCTATTAATTTATTCGGGAAGCACCTAGTGGCCCCTATGTAGAAAATCTATTTTATTTTTGGTCCACAGCTAGCAGGCCCCGCAAAGTCGCAGATCACTAGTTGCAAGATATTAACTACATGACATGCTACATAGTAGTATATGATGGTAGGTATGATCAAAACAATAATAAAATATAGGGATGAGACATACAAGACAATTTTATTAAGTACACCATCAAAATTCCACATTATATTACATTTTGAGTACCTACCTAAGTAGTTTATTTGCGCTGACCACTGCTTTTGCTTTCTTGATGGTCTTCAACTTCTTCATTTTCTTCACTACTGCTGCCATCTTCACCCTCCATACCATTTTCCCCATCACCTTCAACATCGGGCACCAAATAATACTGCAAAGGGTTCAGCCAGAGATCATCTTTGATAACTTCTGCAATATCATCTGTGTATGGATCAACATTATCATTGAGCCAACCAAAAAAAGTTTTAGAAGGCTCATGACGTCGTTTTCTGCCACTTCGATTAGATTCTATGGTTTGTCCAAGAGTGCAACCCTCTTTCCATACTATAGGAGTACTTTCAGATGTTGGAGTTGCTGAAAGATTTTTGAAACTACTTAGTGGCTTTCAGGCATTTCCATCAATATTCTAAAAAGTTTCCTCCATGTACATCTCATTCTCATTATTTTCTCACTGATATGTATTTCATTTATATGTAGGTATGAATCATAAATTTGACTTCCTATTTTTTTTAATAGATACCTACCTATAATAGTTGGCTGTGAGATGACATAACCAAATACCATAGACATTTTCATTTTTGTAAATTGTGCTTGTGAATAATAATTGTGATATGTAATAATAATGAAGATGAAGTGGTATTCATTTTGGTTGAAAAATGAAAACAAATTATTGGCAAGTAAGAGAGCTTCAATATTAAATACCTATACCTACTTATACTTATATATTGTAGAAAGTTGACACCTAATTCAAAAAATTTTCACCAACTACTATCTTGAATTCATAATTTTCCTCATAATGATAGCAAACTCACCAGAAACAAAAATGCAGAATACATTTTAACAAGCTATAAATCAATATGCATGGCAGCGTCATGCAAGTAAGACTCTTAAAGTTTTTATCATCATGTTAAACTCAAATGAAGTATTTGGATCACATACTATAAAGGAGATGAAATCTGATTTTCATAAAGATTTTTTACCACAGCCCAGATGGTATTCCTTTGTAATAACAGCATTTTCGAAGTATGGATTCTCTTCAAAATAAAATTTTATCCAGTAACCAGATTTGATATCCTCAAATTCTTCCACTTCTAATTTGGTTAGATGATGTAGGCAATCTTCCTCAGAATCATCCAGCAGAGCACTTAGATCAGGGTGATTCATAATCTGGGAAGGAATAGGAAAAATATCCATCATAAGTTCTCAATGAGTTTTATAGGATTATAGGTTATATTATGATTATAATTGGTAAAAAAGGATACAGATGTTATCCAAAAATTCGGAATGTTGCTTATGATCTGATTCCTCTTTTCAAAGAACGGTTTCCGAAGTTGGTTGTATTTCTGTTCAACTTTTAATATTTCTTCACTAGCCTTCTCATCTATGTTGTCAATCTCATTTTGACAAATATCTATTTCTTCTAATGCTTTCTGTGTGGCAGCATCAAACTCTGAACTTCTATCTGATTCTGAAAACCTCTTCACCTTTCTCGAAGAAGTGTCTCCTGACATAACGGCCTCAAAATTTTATTTTAAGCAAAAAAAGCGTTACCGAGTTCAAAACGAAAATGCCGAAAACAAACACGTCTCAGCTCCACATTAAAGATAAGGATACATGCGTGAAATATATGACATAATTTCAATATTTCCCGCTGCTAAAGGAATGATCCAGTCACAAATTATTTTAATAATTATTGGATTATGAGTCGGTCGTATTCAAGTCAAACTAGTCCAGTCCAATGCAATTTTCGATCCCAATCAAATTCCCTGATAACTTCCTGTACCTGATGAAGATCAGATTCTATTTTCCCACTTCCACTCAGCACCGTACTGTTGAAGTTGAGTGTTGATGCCTTACGATTGACACAAGGACCACAAGGTGTTCTTTTGCTCCAGTGAGCTACAGTCTCAGTTCAAAAAGCTGAACTTTTCAAATGTCTAATGCCTATAAGAACGAAAGTATATACTGATTACTGAGTTATCTGAATGTGAATGGTCTGAATCTCCTACAGGAATCTCCATTACATTCGCGCCATCTATCGACATGTTGAAGCCCTACATTCTGTTGGTGTCTTTGAGGCACTTTTACAAATTTTAGGCATTAGTGCCAACTTTTGTTTTACACCTTACTTCATAACCTTGCTTACTTACATGAGTTGTGCAAGAATATAAAAAAAGTAGCATTTAAAGAAAGAAAACAGGACAGGAGACAAATGCAATTTCTTGTAATTTTCTGGTTTTCACTGTTTTCAGGATATGTTGGCCAATTCTTCATATTTTCATCATTCTTTCTGTGTAGAGATCAATGACCTATTATTAAAATAATGGTATGAGTTATATGATCCTGTTCTTGCTCAATATTAAGAACCGGTTTAACAATCTCATTCAATTTATTCAATTTCAGTCAAGAGCTCACATTCAAGTTTCTTAGTCTGAAAATTTCATTGCAATGTAAAACTTAATAATTTAATAGGTATGCAATGATCCAAGGTAATCACTACCAGTTTCACATGGCCAATAAAAATGTTCATTTTGTGATAGTCTTTTTTCACAATCACAAAGATAATGACTTTAAAAATACTTGTATTTATTATATTGGTTCCTATAACACTAAATAATATAATTATATATAAAAATATATATTATTATCTATTCAATGATGTACTTAGCTGTAGCAATTATGGCGAAATTTGAAAGTGAAATTCTCAATGTCAAAACATATCTATTATTCAGAAACCGTTCAGTGTGACTGTCAAGTCATCACAATAATTTAGGATTTTTTTTCTATCATTCAAACATATTCTTCATTTCAAACAGGCACTGTATACACTAGGGGTATACATTTTAGGGCCAAAGGGTGAAGAATGAAACATTCAGTTTAAGAAAAAATACCATTATGGATATAATAAACACATGTCATGACAAAGAAAACAACAATCAGTAATACCACTAATAATAAAGCTATATTTTTCATCATCATTAACAGTATTTTTTTTTTGTTTTTTGCATAAAATCCAAATTTCCATAACTTACTGTAGAAACAAGCAACAAAATTAAGGAAACAATTTCACAGGTTGATAAAACCTTGATCCGTGGTCAGCAAATCATTGCTTGAAGCATTGACTTCAATGTTTGTATGTCTATTATTGGTATTTTAATTTTTGGGAAAGTAATTTCTGGGAAAAAATCATTTGTTCTGATTATTTAAGTTTTACTCTACATTCTGAAAATTATGTATCTACTCTATTTGGTAAGTAGGTAATCATCATTGGATTCAATGGAACATTTTAGTTATACATTATTGGAAATTATAAATGAGTCATAAGGATTTGGGTTGGGAACAAATTCATTTCAATTATGAAAAGTTAATGACTAAACTGATATTGAATAAATAATAATAAAAAAAAAATTATAGTTTCTAAATATATTTTTGAGTTTGCTGTTGTAATTTTGCCTAAATAAAATGGAAGACTAATAATATTAGTGTGTAACCCAGAATTATCAATTTTCAGACTGTGGAGTGATAGCAAATTCATCATTTCTCAATCATTTTATCATAATTGAATTATCAAATCTGTGATTCAAATAAGAAAAACTTTTTTCCTGTCAAAAGATATTGGTTGAATACATTTCTTGAAGTCATAACAAAGTTATAAATTAGGGTACAACTCTCAAGGTAGAAACAATTATGAAGGGTCATATAGATAATGGAGATTAGTGTGAAAGAGAGAGAGAAGATATATAATATAGAATTTTATTGTTATCATTTCATTGAATACTCATAAAATGTACAATAAACGAATAACAGATGGATAGAAACAAATGAGCAATAGTGAAACCTCCGTCTCAAAAAGGACCAAGCAAGTCCAACACTTACATTATACTAAGTCTTTCTAGTTGATTTATGGCAAATATACAAATCCAGAATAGCGTTTAAGTATTTAGGCAAACAGAGCCTTTGGGCAGGCAACTTTTTACATGACCCTTAACTGCACTTGAATTCGATGCGTAACACTTGTCAATGTACAACTCAATCTCACATTCTTATTATTGCCGGATTACTCATTAGTAATATCAAAAATAAAACAAAATACTCTGAACCACTCACTCAGCACCATATTCGCTATTTGGGATTGTAATAGGGAGGTTGTTGCATGTGTGGGGGCCCAGGCCCGGGCCCCATCGCCTGTCCCCCCATCTGACTGCGAGTGCCGGTGGCGTACAATTGCTGCTGGAAGTTGTGGAACTGCTGTGCATAATTGGGATCCGCCGTGGTGGGGCCCATGAACGGTGAATTTTTAAAGCTGTTGCTCTGCCCCATCGACGGCGGCAGGGGCTGGGTCGCTTCCGGAGCGCCCATGCCCATCGGGCTGCCCTTCGGCCCGCTCACGAACATCTGCCCCGACGGGTTGCCCATGTTCGGGCCCGCATTGAACATGCTGTCGGGCACGCCTACCCCCGCCCCGCCCGGCGGCCCGTTGAACACCATCTGCTGCATGCGCATGCCCATCGGCGGCGCCCTCATAGGACCCCTCATCATCGGCATCATGCCCGCCGGCATGCCCATGTTACCGCCCATTGGACCCATGGGTCCGGCGCCGTTGCCCAAATGCCCGCCCATGCCCATCGGGCCCATGCCCCCACCGGGATCCTGCTGCATGCCTCCGTCCAGGTGGCTCATGTGCGGGGGCATCGGCCCCCCTGGCATCGGCCCGTTGTTGGGCGGGCCGCACGACGGGAAGTATTGCATATTCTGCATCTTCGATTCCATCATGTTCATGGGAGTGGCGAGGCGGGTCAGGAAGTCGAGGCTGGGAGGGCCGCGCGGCCCGGGCGCCTGCGGCTTTGCCGGCAGGTACTGGATCGTGTTGGGCGCGTTCGGTTTCACCTGCACGTTTGCCCCGTTGTAGGGGTTGGGCGGCCCCGGGGGACGGCCCATCATCCGCGGCATCGGCATGTGATTTGGGAAGGCACCTGACAGCTTGGGCGAGAGAGAGCGGATGGGCCCCATCGGGGAGTTCGGGTGGAATCCGTGCGGGGGGCCCGGCATCTGCATGCCCATCATGTTGCCTGGCCCCTGGTCCATGTCGCCCATGCCGTGGCAACTGCCCACTCCCATCTCCATCATGTGCATAGAGGGGGAGCCGAAGTTCATCATCGGAGGCCCTTGGTTGCCCCCCTGGCCGTTCAGCGAGCTCGCGACGCTGTTGGTCAGCTGCTGGCTCATCTGGGCCAGTGAGGAGATGGGATCGAAGTGCGACACTTTGGGATTCGACATGGTGCTCGTGCAATTCGGGTTGAGGGGCACGTTGTCGCCCCTCTGACAGCCGTAGTTCGGGAGGTCGAGCGGTTTGCCTTGCGGGGACACGTTGACGAACCCGCCGGCCATCTTGGCGCCGGGAGAGGAGGCGTTCGGCCCTTGGAACCTGGGCACGTCCATCATGTGGGGGCTAGGCGTCGGGAACAGGTCGTTCTTGAGGGGGTCCGAGTTAGGTCCGGGGCAGGTTTGGGGGCTCAAGCCGGGAGCTCCGGAACCGGGAAGCCGTTGAGGTTTGTCTCCTGGAAATGAACATTAATCGATGATGTAGTGACATTATAAATAGAGTGACAAGAGTTGTACACTTTTTGAATGGTCAGACCTCTAATATAGAGGTGCATCCACCTGTCTTGTTTTCTTCATTCAGTACTACACATTCTATTACACTTTGTCAATGCTTTGTCTTTGTTTTTTGCTCTTTGGACACAAAACATCCAACAATCAGACATGAAACTCAATACGTCAAGTGGATACTAACTATTAGAATCCGTCTTTTGGGACTCGTCTCGGATTATTTCAATGATATAATGAGAATATCAAATATCTAAACCTAATATCAGGTGGGTACTTCGAAGGCGCAAATTCATTATTGCATGTGAGATACCTTTGAGTTTTTCAGTTATTCAATGACATGACCAGGAATGATATTCAGGAAACGGCAGCCATTTGGAGGTCTAATGTCTTTACTCTATTCAATCTACTCACTGTACGAGAATGTATCATCATTTCATACACTGCCCGAAGTTTTTTAAGGGAAAGAAACTTTGGGTTCCACACATTTCATCTTGTATGTTATTATACTCCATGAATACAGAAAAATTTCAATGGTTCAGTTGTTTAACATGACTTTGAATGACTTTTTGTTGTAGTTACAAATAAATAGGCACTCATAAGTAATTACTAACCCAACCTAAACTACCCACTGCACAAAATAGATTGTGGTCTATCAGAATATTATTTATTTTATTCTCGGACATATTGTTAGGCTTCAAAATGCGCAACTTTTCTCTTTCAACCATATTCATATCTCTTATGGTTTCCGAGATCCCCATGAAAGACATTCTTATCTTGGACATGTTGTATATTACGGCGATGCCAACATGAAGCACACTTCGTTGACATTCCTTGTCATCCTTAAGGAATCATTAGGAAATGAATCTCATTAGGCTTGAGATAATAAGTCATGTCAATAGAGTATGCATTTTTTATTCAGGGGGCAATTTTATTTCAATAGGTCAATAGATTCATGTAATATTGAAAAAGATTTCGAATATTGTACAGCAGTGAGCAAAAAATTGAAAAAGATAACATTGTGTATATATCGATCACCGACTGGTAAGATAGATACTTTTTTTCATAAACTATATGATGCCCTTCTATTCTTAACTAATCATTTCAAGGGATACAATTTGATACTTAGTGGAGATTTCAACATACATTTCGAAACTGAATATAAAATTAGAGATGATTTTTTAGTGATGATGAAAGTTTTCAACTTATATCCTCATATTGATTCTCCAACTCGAATCACAGCTACGAGTGAATCAACATTGGATAACATATTCTCTGATATTGATAACAATAATATTAGCTTCAGAGATAACGAATACTATGGTTTTGGTGATCATAATGGACAGATAATAACCTTCAATCATGAAAATGTTTCCCAGAACACAACGTCTGCTTATGAATTCCGAAGGAATTTCAATATACAAAATATCAACTGTTTCAAAGCAGCATTATCCAAAGTTGACTGGACTCCACTGTTTAACGAAATCGACACGAATAAAGCCTTTGAAATTTTCTACAATATTTTCAATACCTGTTTTGAAGAAGCTTTTCCTAAAAAAAAACGCAGGATTGGACAACAAGTCACAAAAAATGGCTGGATAACGTCAGGAATCAGAACATCTTCTAAAAATAAAAGATCTTTATTGTTCATTAAAAAATTCACCACTGACAGAAATATACTATCATATATTCAAAATTATTGTAGGATTCTCAATAAAGTCATTAAATATTCCAAAGAACAGTATTACAAAAACATAATAAATAATTCTGATAACAAAATAAAATCCACTTGGGAAATAATAAATAATACTATCAAGCATAAAAATACCAAAAAAAGCCTTGACATTATATCACTTACTAGAGGAGAAGCTATTCTCGAACATCCAAAAGATGTGGCTGATGAATTCTTGACATTTTTTCTCAACGTTGCCAATGATCTGAATAAAAATATAGTAAGCAAAAATACTGCCGAGGAATATCTCTCAAGTATTCAAAACAATCCCTCGAACTCATTTTTCTTACGTCCTATCACAGAATCTGATTTGGTAGAAATCATTATGAAAATGAAAAATAAAAAATCAACCGGACAAGATGAAATTCCCATCGTTGTTATCAAAAAGAGCCTGGAAAACCTCAAATCCATTTTAACTCACCTAATTAATCTTTCTTTGAGCAATGGCGTTTTTCCTGATATTCTAAAAGCAACAATAATCAAACCACTCTTCAAAAAAGGTGATGTTAATGTGACAGCTAACTATCGTCCGATTTCTCTACTCTCAGTTATTTCAAAAATCCTTGAACTAGAAGTGAAGGAACAAATACTCGAATTCGTGAAAAAATTCAATATATTTATCAATCAACAATACGGATTCCGCAAAGGCAAAAACACGGGGGATGCAGCATATGATCTTTTAGAACAAATCAATATCATTATCGAAAAGAAGTCCATTCCATTAGCCATTTTTTGCGACTTAACAAAGGCTTTCGACTGTGTCGATCACGATATTTTATTGAGTAAATTATACTACTATGGCTTTAGAGGTATTCCGTTCCAGTGGATGAAGTCATACTTAGAAAATAGATCGATACAAGTAGAAGTACCATTTTCTTCAAACGGTGAAATCTCAAATGTACGATCTCGTGTAGACACGCTCACGTGCGGGGTACCTCAAGGTTCGATACTAGGACCAACACTATTTCTTCTATATATAAATGACCTGGTCTCAAACTTTCCGTCGTCTCATTTCTTTTTATTTGCGGATGATACCAGCATTTTGAATAGTAGTCCAGATATTGTGCAACTGAAAACAGAAACCCAACTTAGCCTCAATAATATAGTTGACTGGTTCAGAGCCAATAAGCTTATGATTAACCTAGAAAAAACTTTGAATATGACCATACTCCCGAATAAACACAACGAACCATTACAAATTACAACTATTGATGGTAACATAATCCCCGTGACGCATACAAAGTTCTTGGGCTTTATCATCGATGATAAATTGGATTGGAAATCTCATATATCTTATATTAACAATAAACTGGCAAGCGCCGTTTATGCAATTTCCACAATTAGAATTAATATCGGCACCGCTGCTGCCCAAACAGTTTATTTTGCATATTTTTATAGTATTCTGAACTACGGAGTTGAATTCTGGGGAAACTCAGTTAACTCAAATTCCACATTTATATTACAAAAAAAAGCTGTCCGGGCCATGTTGGGTTTAAATAGACAAGACTCATGTCGCAGGCACTTTGTCAACTTGAGGATATTTACTCTCACCAACCTTTATATTTACAGAGTAACAATCGAAGCATTTAAAAGAAAACATAATTTCAAAAAACTATCAGATATACATAGCTATAATACTCGTAATAACAGATTAATTTTGAAACCAATGTTCATCTATGAGGCTAACAGAAAAGGACCATTATATATGGGTATCAAAATTTTAAATCACCTACCGAACTCACTCACAGAAATTTGCTCACTGAATCGCTTTAAGAAATCACTCAAACAATATTTACTGTCAAACATTTATTATAACCTAGAAGAATTTTTTTCAAACAATTGTCAATAGTATTTTCAACCTCAATATTAATGTTTATTTCTATTAATAACTATTTCATTAAATATTTCACTAAATTTACAAAAGCAAATACCGAAACATCTATTCATTGTACATATAAATGATAATTTCTGTCAAAGATTATACTTGCACTAAATTTGTGAAGTATTGCCAAATATCAACTCCGATTTGTATACATTATTTATTTTTCTCTCTCGTTATCTCAAATGTTCTTAGGAACTTGCATTGATTTGTAAAAAAATGTATTTTTTTGCACTCACTGTATTGAGAAATAAATCTATCTATCTATCTATAATGAATTAGTTCTCATCATCATATGATTTCAATCAGATATTTCCATAACAATGTCGAGCATCCTCACTCAGTTATGATAGCAGACTTTTTAAAATCGTTTAAATCACCAATAATCTCGAGTGTACCAAAATAGAAAAGGTTCATATTCCATAACTTCACACAAATCACCATAAAGGTCTAAAATTTCTATATAACATCATGATAAAGAAAGTAAAAAGTAGTCATGCACATGTTATCAACCTGAATCAGTGATCTTTGTATTTTTATATAAGAAAACATATTATGAATTAAAGTTCGGTTGGACATTTTTCCTTTATGTTGAATATTGAGATCCTCAAAATTATTTGATTTATATACCAGTTCCTACGCCAATATATTCGACTATTTTACATAAAAACTTCATCATTTCACCCTGTATACAGTTTTTCATTCCAGTTGCTTTTTGAAGTAATAATCTCTATAGGCCCATTAGGCACTTTCTGGGATAAAACGGCCGGACTCGCGTCAGGCGCGTGTATGCCTTTATATGTCTGTGTCGGCTGCCGGTGCACCTTCAGCAGCGTTGCCAGATCTGGTTTAACAGTAGATCTATTGTGTCATCATACTGTTCTCCTGTTTTAGGCATGAAACCTACTGTTTTTTTCGTTAAACCAAACGCAAAATTTAAAAAATGACAACATTTCTCACAAGAGTCACAAGTGGTTGTAGAAATTGTACAGAGAGCATGGGACTATTGAACCATCAACAATTCACAGCAGAATTTTCATTTTGGATCAACAATTCACAGCAGAATTTTTATTTTGGATGTTGGCTACAAGCTACATATCATGTTACCGTCAGGTTCTGTCTATGGTTTCCCGTTCCCTAGTTCAGAGTCGGTGTTGGTCGGTATTTTGTTGATCTGAGGTCGGTATGATCTTTTAATAATTTTGTTAATTGTTATAGAGTTCTAGTTCCTCCTTTTCGCAAATAGGTGGGAATATTACATAAAAATACATGGAAATATTACATAAAATTAATATTACTTCATTCAGACTTCCCCTGTATTGTCCAGAGTACTGGAAATACTGACTGGTCATAGAAGTTCTCTCTTCTGACCTGTGGTCCTATACACAGGGGTTTATTCATTGATATTTTGAAGCAAGTGTTTATTCAGAAGTCCAAGTTTTTTTTGTTGAGTACTAACCTTGTGAAGAGGCAGTGGGTGTATGTGGACTGGGTATTTGGAAGCGGCAACCCTCTGAAGGGGTTGGAGGAAATCTTGGACCCACATCCATTGATGTAGGTGTGTTAGGACCTGACACCCTTGTATGTGGAAGATCTGGTGTGTTGCCGGGAAAACCACCGTCTAACGTGGTCGGCAAAATTCTGAAAATAAATTGAATATTCCATAGCACCATCAAACTTGGGAAGAAGAATCCACATTAACTTGCCCTTTGAACTTCTTACAGGAATAGTTATTCAAAGGTGTCATTCTTTGGAATATTCTGTTAGTTGTTTATTTGGTGTTTTGTTTTGAACTGTTATCAATAGTATAAATTAGACACAACATGAAAATGTTCATGTCCTCAGTTATGTTTTTATTTTATCAATATTGATAAAAATGTAATTAGCTACATACTTGAACAAGGTTTGGAATATATTTTACCTTTGAGGGAGCATCAAGCAGAACCAGAATAGAATTCAAATAGTTCTATTTCAGTACATATGTTTAGACTTAAATATATAAATAGATCAAATTAACTTATGAATTAATAAACCAATTCCAATTTATACCTGCTTGATAGGAATAGGATGATAATAATTATAAAATTAAATACCATTTTAAAAATAATATAGTGGACAATGATTATTATTATATTTGCCTTTTATTTGAGTAGTTACCAAATTCAACAAATCAAAATTGACATTAGCATAATCAATAATTAAAAACAAATTATTGATCTTTTCTTCAACCCCAGTCAGGGAGTTCACCTTCAAATCTTTCTTTGTACATTTATATCTCTTCAACAGCATGACAGTTTGAATTTATTATACACAGGATGATCAATGCATGAGTCAATGCATATACATCTTCAAGATACAATACAATATTTGGATTTGATAAAATATATACTACTTTATTTCATTCTTCTTAGTTTATCATGAAAAATAGCTGGTTGTTTTTTTATCGCTTGGAGCGCACGAAAATGAATCCCTATAATGTTATTGAACATTGAACTTACGGAGGTGATATGATACTGCCATCTTTCAAGCTGGTATTGGGTTGTTTTTGAATTATCAGTTCTTGACCTTCAAATGTGTTGAGGTACTGGATTTGCTGTGGAGAGGGTACAGGCATGAGATTAGGTTCCTTGACAACACCACTAGTTGGTGTTGTTGAACAAGTTGTTGTTGATGTGCTTAACTGTTGTTTCTGTTGTGCCATGGATTGTAGAGTCCTCCCAAACATTCCATCTACTGCAAAAAGATATAATATCATCCTGATAAGAGACTATTATACTATGATTATATTATCACTGTTGAGTTTTTTTCTTTTTAGAAGTCTTCATTATATATATTTCATTACAGTTACAGTTGAAGATGTTTATAAATTATTATTTTATATGTTAAGCACTGGTGTGATAAATTAAATGATAATTTATCATCAAAAACTGTGGAAAAGAATTTAGTAATGCAAATCAGTGGAGGGAAATTTTCCAAGTACTGAAAAGAGTACACATGAATATTCTTTTTGATTCTGGACTGAAGATAAACAAACAATATATATACAAAAATATATACAAAATACATAACAGAATGGAATGAGAATTTTTTGAGTAAGATCCATCAGTGAGAACTATTGGAATGTTACACCTAATAACACTGATAAAAATATATGTTGACAAAATGAGACAACTACATGTTTAACATTTTCAAAATGTGTTTAAAATTGCTGAATAATAATTTCTTCAGTGACAAAAATTGTTGTGAATTGATAAACAGCCTGGCAATACTCACCTGTAGATTGATGGGTAGAAGTAGGTTCTGTGCTACTGCTAGTTACACTGGGAGAAAGGTGATGTGAAGACAGGGGTGTGCCAGGGTTGCTGTGATTAAGTCTTGGTGCCGAGGGGGAGTCTTGTGAAGTAGGGCTCTGTCCAGTACTCATATGCCTGGTCAAGCCAAAAGGTCTGTTGGGATCGGCGGGGGAATTCAGGGCAGAGGAGGCCCTTGGAGAGGGTAGAGATAAATTAGAAGTGGGGTTATTAGGAGAAGTAGGATTAGGACTCTGCAGGGCAATAGGTACACTGGCAGACCTCTGGGTCTGATGATAAGGGGGAGGGGGCCCTTGCAGCTTTGGTCCTTGGGCCCCACCCCTAGGCATGCCACCAGGACCAGGTACAGCCCCCATGGGAGGCCCAGTTCCACTGCCACCACTAACAGGGCCCACTGGGACTGCAGGGCCAGGTTTCCTTTTGGGATCATCATAGAACTGGTGATGCAATTTCTGCCATTCCATTTGAGGGGCAACAGGGGAAGGCCCCCCAGGCGGCATGTTGGGATCAGAGGGGGGTCCCCCTTCCATGGTGTGGCTCTCAGGAAGCAACATTTGTTGAATCTTCCTTATGGTAGCCAGCTGTTCTTCACGGTGCTGCCGCTGCTGGGGAGTCAAATTCTCATCAGGCACTTTAACACCCTGCAATGAGGGCTGAACATTTGTTAGAGATGGGCTGCATGCATCCATATCAGGCACGCCATCAGGTATTCCATTGGAGACTGCAGCATCTAAGCCTTCCAGGTGATTACTTTTGGTGTCCCAAGGCTCATCCAGGCCTACCATCTCATCAAGAGGATCAGGTCCCAAGAAATTATCTAAAGTAGTTGCAGATTTCTGTCCAAGCCCAGGACTCCTATTGCAACTCTTACTCTTCATCATGGCAATGTTGTTGAGCCACTGGGCTGGGTTTTGGCGATTGAACTGGGTCACTTTCAGTGGGTTTTTCTCCAAGTACTTTTTGGTACCAGGCTGAGCACAGTGGTAGGCTATTATGGAAGGATAGCGGCCTTGCAAGACTTCATCTGCCCCTGAATTAGCCAACATGGTGGAGAACACAAAGATCTGACTCTGCTGTTGCATGTAGTGAACCTCCATTGAATTTGGTTGTTTGTTTATGACATTGCTGACTAAAGGTTGGACTCCTTCTGAAGGTGGTGGATGAGTGCCACCTCCAGGAGTGGGCAGGCCCAAGCCAAAAGCATCTCCTGCCAAGTCTCCATCCAGGCATTCCTCTTGTTTTAGAGGTAAGGAACTGGGATCTGAACCAGGAACTACAGATTCATCAGAATGTATGTCTGGTTTGCGATCAAGAGTGGTTTGCATGGAACCAGTGTTTGTTGATCCAACAATGCCTCCATTCTTAGTAATGGGACCAGAGCAGGGTTCTTTCTTGACAGAGATATCATCCTCCTTTTTAACTCGAACCTCTGCACTAGCAGTGTCCTTCTCTGAACTGCCAGCCTCATCTTTTGTGGTATCTGAACTTTTTTCGGGTTTTTCCTTGATCATCTCGCACTTTTATCACATAGCCTTTCCTTTCATACCTACTGTACTATCACTATCACCATTCACTTCTCATGTCTTTTGCTAGTACTAGATTCTTAGCCCCTATTGAGATCAACACTATATATTTATAGTCATTCCTCTTATTTTAATACCACTGAATTATGTTTCACATCACATATGTTCTAATGTTTTTATTTGCATTCCATCATTTTTTATTTTCATCTCTTAACCAAATTTGAAGAGACTCATACGGGATATTCTAGGTCTTCGTGACATTGCACAGTAATCTATTTCACTAGATTTCAGCTTATTATTAGCAAAACTTCCAACAGACATCAATGCTTTTGTGAATTTGTATATTATTTTATTAAAAAAACTTTTAACAAAAATTCTCACATCACAAAATGCCAAACTGTCCACACGCGTTGCTACCAACTGAATTCACAGGTCACCAAAATATAAACGAAAAAGTTACTGAAGCAAATTCAAAAAGAAATCTGTATATAACTATAAAATAATAAATTTAGATCCAAGTTCGACTAAAAATAGGTTTATTTTGTTTATGTTATCGTGGATGAGTCCTTCATTCTTCTGTATATTACATAAGATACCTACATTCAATGATAGAATTTCTATAATATACTTCAATTTTCATTGACATGGTAAATAGAACTGAAGGGATGACTATGAATGAAAATTCATTTTCAGGTATTTAAATTTAAAGGCAATATTTTCACGACTAATTGTTCTTTGAAAGAAAGTTCGAAATTTTCTTTTCACGATTCAGAAAATAGGTAGGTAGTAGCAATGGTAGTAGGCATTTAGGTAGGTACCTGAAAACGATAAAACTCAAAGTGAATAGTTATATTTATATCCAGAATCGAGTTTATTATTTCGAACAGGTATAGGGTATAAGAACCTTATTGGAACTATCGATTTCTTAAAAATAACCTTTCTTCTAATCAATTTTTGACATGGGTGGGTCTCGATGTTTTATTTATATCCTATCCGCTATATCCGACTGTTGACTTTTGACTGTTCGTGTTCGCCGTCGGTCGGGCTGTCGCCCACGAACGGCAAGAACTAATGTTAGTTATGTGTTATTGTGTTAGGTGGTGTTGGTAGTGATGATTTTACAAGGTTGGTAGAGCTGATGATAATTTGTATTAATCATGAGTTCAATCAATCTTGATTATTTTATTTTCATCTTATGATGTTTCTTCGCTCCGCTAGATGGTATTAGTTACCTATATAACCAAGGTTGTTCTACCAATCTTGTAAATAACAACATGCAGCAGTATGCAGGCAGGTATATTATGTTCTGTGGTGCCTTTCGACCTTCCGAGTATCGTATAGTAGTGGCACAGATTAACAAACCTTAGGGTAATTGAAGGTCATGCATTTACAACGTTTTCATTGAACAATGTCTGACGCATCGGCCTCAATGGTGGCAACAATGGAAACGATCGATGGAATGTAGTTTCGATCTTTCGGAGATAATCGGTGGTATAGAACTACCTACCAAGAAATATAAAATATAAAGAAATTTAGTTTTCCATCGATAGGAATCGCTGACTTACCATAGGCGTGGAAATGAGACATAAGAGGGTGCAATAAAAAAAATCATGTATCATATATACAGGGAGATTTATAAAGAATGGGCAGAATCTGAACCACAAGTATCTAGTAAACATGTTGATTTTAGAGATACAGTGTGTTCAAGGAAAAATTTGTATTTTAAAATTTCTCAATAATTATAGTGAGTTCTATAGTAGCATGTACATAAAATATTATAGTTCCAGGTTTTCTGACATGATGAAAACGAATTTTGTAACTTATTTTGTAACTTATTTTGTGATTGATGATAGAGGGCGCTAGTATGGCACTCTGTTACTCCAGCAATTTTCATCATATAGTCTTTGTCCATCGAATAATGTTTAAAATAAGTTAAAAATCTGAAAGCCTGTTCAATTTTACATAAAAAATGTACCTTTGTGCAAATTGTCTAGCTCTAACGGTGTTTGCGTTATTATAGCTCTCGAAAAGATCTGCGTTGCACTTACACAAATTTTAGTATTCTAATGTATGAAGTTTGCGAAGCGACTCTGAAAAAAAAGGAGAGTAATTGATTATGACAATCACTGGTAACATCCAACAATTAACAAACAAAATTCCAAAGTGAATGATCGGTCAAACTTATTGGAAAATTTTAAACTGAAATTTTTAGCTTGAATACCTTTCTAACAACATTTTTATAAGGCATGATCTGTAGTTCAGAGATTTTCCATTCCTAATGAATCACCCTGTATTATTATTATTGTTGTTTATGTAACCTTTTGATCAATTCAGGATTTATGAATAGCACAGTGGGTTCATATATTGATTATTATGATGGCAATGAACAAGATTCAATAGAAAAATTTATTTCAAATACTGATTTTTATAATTTTGATATTGAGTAATAGCTGCTTCAAAGGATGTCCTAGTGCTTCCAAGGTCTTCGAACTCAGAAATATCCCTCTCTTAGACTCTTCGATGTCTCGTAATGAAGACGTAGCCAAAGAAAATACTGAACTCCTCACACTGAACAGTAGATCTTTATCAAGGCTATTTTTTATTTCAGCTTGAAGTTCGTATTCTCTAGAAGATTTTTTGTCTCCCAGGTACCAAACCCAAAGTAAAATATCGGACCAAACCCTGAAAATGAATTTTTGAAACTGTGAAGGGCGAGGGAGAAAAGACAAGTTATCAGGTGAGTATTCTATCTGACTAACACCTATACATATTCTACAGGCTTCTCCAAATTAATAATAATATAATAATAATATTATAATAATAAAGCCCCCTCTGAAATCTGTTCTGTTTCAGAGTGAAAATCCCATAAGGGATTTTTATCTGTAAAAAATACTGATAGTTTGATGGTTATTTGAGAACTTCATTTGGATAATGAGGAATATAATCAATTAACTTTCTACTATAGTAACAACTTTTTCATTTAATGTACAAGGAAGCAGGCTATAGGTATATCAAATACCTGCCTGAATTTATCTATAGGTAGTCTTTCTCTACTTAATAATTTCTCAAACTTACGTATTTTGATCTTCAATGATGTGTTTACTGATTTTGAAGAAGAATATATCTTTATTGCTTGAAATTACGTAACATGTATCTCGAATGCCATCTAGTTCTTTGAGATTTATGCTGATGTCTGAAGTGAAATATTGAATCAAAGGTCCACTGTGGTTATGGATGATTTTGAAGTGCTCAAAAATATCACTACCTACAAAAAAAATTTGCTAAGGAGCTAGTATTGTTATACTTGAAAAAAACGTTACCTACGGACCTTTTATTAGATGTGAACAGTCACTTGAGAATGGGCAATGGTACAGTTCGGCTTCATCTATAGACGTCGAACAATCTTGGTTTGTAGAAACGTCCAAAGAATCTAGAGAACCGTGATAAGAAGCTGGCTTCAATACGTAATCTTTATTAACATTCAATGCATTCAATTCTTTTCTATTCAGTCGATTCATGGACCCGCTTCGTGAAACAATTGGGCTCTCGTTGAAAAAAATTTCATTGGTGGATAATGATTTGCTTCTCAACTGTCCATTTGTGAACCCATTTTCGTCAGGCACATTATTAGGCGTCAATAGCTTCATGTTGTTGGACGAAAGGTTATCTACTGATGATGATTTTCCAGTAATTTTGGCAATGAGTTTATTGGTGTAAGACTGGGTGACTTTTATATCGGGAATACTCTGTTTTTTGTTCCTATTCTTGAAAACATGCTGAATCTTAGTGGCTCTCAGCTCTTCGGAATCATCTTTCAAATCGAAGGCGTCCACCACAGCGTTGTATATCTGAAATAAACGAAGACTAGGATATCTTCAGAGAGGTCCAGTTCTAGGTGATCGATTTTTGGAAATTGGATGAAAAATGCCAAGAGTTTTGAATAGATATATACCTATAGTTAATTATTCGAGAGATCGTTTCAGAACAAAATAAAAGTGTAATTTCCATTCAATAGGTGACTATACAATATACCTACGACTCACGAAATGTAGGCAGGAATCACCTTGATTCAGCATCGTTTCAGAGTTACAAAGTATTTGTCAAGAATGCTGCTGAATCAATTTTTATTTTGAAAATCTGTTTTTATTTTCATGGATATCTCAATTGTTTGGAAATTCATCCAAAATGCACATTTAATAAAAAAACTTTGTGTTTCTGAAACGATGATGGTTCAAAAGTTGGACTTCCTCTTCAAAAGTTCCCAATTTGGCCCACCCTGTATATCATATGATGAAATCCCTGTACACTGATGCCTATTGTAGTTTCCAGATTTTTGTGATGTAAATTTGATCACAGGAGGTCATGAAATGATATTAATCAAACTCGAATCATAGTCTATCTGATTTTTTTCTGATTAGGTATAGTTAATTTTGGAATACAGTGCAGCGAGGGGGGGCTGTAGGGGTTGAACCCCCCCCCTTCCAAAACCAGACGCGAACTATAGAAAGTTTATCTGAGCCTTTTGTATTCTATAATATTTTTTCGGTTTTCTCATTACTCTCCCTGATTTTTTCTAAAACCCCTCCTAATACTAAATTCTGGCTGCGCTACTGGATACACTTGACGGATGACTCACTGTATATCGATTGAAAGTATTTTCCATACATTTCCAATGTATTCTTGACTATATTTCTGATTTCAACCTTCGTCTTATCAACTGCTCATTGTCGAAATATGCAAATAGATAAACACAGGGTGTCTCGAAATTTCATTGCAAGGTTTCAACCACAGATTCTACATAGGCAGAAAAATAGTAAAAAAAAGTTCGTATAAACACGGGTCCAGAAATTGACCCCTGGAGGTTTATAGCCATCGGAAGGAGAGTCCGAGATGATGGTTTTTGTAAATATTTTCGCAACTTTCGGTGACAAAATATCATTTTGTACATGCATCTAACTTTTCATGCGTAATTTTAAAATGTTGAGAATTTTTCGAAATTTTGATAAGGGTCGTGGAAAATACAAATGGCAATTTTCCCCCAACTTCTTCGTTTATACAATTTTTTGTAGTTCGATAAGGAAATATATATCATCATTTTTGCTTCAAACTGAAACCATTGTTTAGTTTCGATAGCACTCACCATTTTCGAAATAAATTGATATCAAAAGTCTGCTGCATGAAAAAAAGTTTACATTCTCTTAATAAGGTAGATGTTAGAAGAATGGGTATTTTCCATCAAACAGTATTTTTTTATCTCAAGAATTGTAAATCCTTTCGAAATTGAAGAGGACTACCATTTTCAAGTAAAAATTCCTGGTCAAACTGCCGAAAATTGCTTGGACAAAAAAGTTGTGAGAAAAATTAATGAGTGCCTCTGCTAGTCCAACCTATTTCTCACGCCTCTGATCAAATTTTTGGAATATTCTTAACATTTCCGAATCAGACATAAAAAGATAGGTACATACATGTACAAAATTTGGTTTATTTTATCACAAAGGGGTTTAGCAAATATATTCACATAAAACCATCATCATCATCTGGCTCTACCCCCAGGAGGCAATTTCTGGACCCATTTTTAGATGAACTTATTTTACTATTTCTGTTCCCAGAAATGTGGTTGAAATATTTCTATGTAATTTCGGGACACCCTGTATAGAAAATCCTGTTACGCCTATGGACTGCGTAAAGATAGGTATATAGATAGGTAGGTAAAGTAAGGTATATATACCTGGTCCGAAATGAGAGATCTTCCTCTTTGTAATCTCAGTCTACATACTGGACATCTCTCAGATTTCGATCTGCATCTAATGCAAATCAAATGGCCATTATCGCACTGGTAGGTGGGAGGGGTGATAGTGTCCAAACATACAGGGCATTCCAGAAACGCCAGGATTGTCGACATGCAGGCTGACAGTCTTTGCAAATTTTGGGGAAGTGGGCCACAGCAGAGTGACTGGAAATCAGATATTTCATATGAATAACAGTAAAAATTAAGGTGTTATAGCATGTTTAGTCTATGGTAATAGCATGTGATAGTTTCGAAAATACATATACCTAGCTATACATGATATGGTGATTCGTAATGAATTGAACACAGAGCAATAGTAGAAATCTAACATCAAATGACGTCGTTAGAAAAATGTTGATTCATACTTTTTTTTTTTTCGAGTTTAATACAAGGGTGCAAAATATTTTATGGGCTATGAGATTTGCTCTTTCAGTTCATTCTAATCTTCTGATAAGAAATAAATTTCCAGAAATTGCCAAAATATTGATTTATCTGTCATTATTTTGGGACCTATCAAAAACTCAAATATACTGATATCTCGAATACAAGTTTTTTTATTCAAATAAGTGCATATATTGTGTGATTCACATTGCTTATTTCATTTTTATCGTCAGGAAATGTATGAATTCTTTTGTGATTAAAAATAGGCACTCCCACGTTCTTGTGGAAGCATAATCATCGCATATCAATTGAATTATCTTTTCTTCTCGAGATAATGAAACGATTCAATACGAATTATATAACAAGAATTTATGAATGGTTGACTGCCTACATCGAAATAGGTATGCTCATATGTGGCCGAGTATGGTAGCTTACTATTTGGAAAGAAATTTGTTGCTTTATTGAGTAGGTATATAATTGGATAGCTTATCGAAAGAATATTTCAACGCAAAACAACATTCACTATGACTACACTGTTTTACCATACTAACCAAACCGATTTTTCGTACGCCTCGACACGTGTTTCGCTAACTATGTTAGCATCTTCAGGAGAAGATTAAAACTAAAATATTCTATTCTAGTGTGCTACTTTATATACTAGGCATATGTCCACTATACAGAGGGCTGAATGGAATAGCTCCATTATATTTATTAATTACTTTATTACTGTTCCTATATATCTCTAGGCTTTCATATGCATCTATTTTCCTAACATTATTAACTTGCTTGACTAATTTGAGGATATTAATATGTGTGTGATTAAACATGTTTTCGGCTACACACGATTTATCTAACTTACAATAGGCCTGTTCGTTTGTGCTTGCTCTATCTGCTGAACTTGATTGTTTTCTATGACTTTCCCTTTTTACATCATGCCAGAAACAGAGACAACTATGGGAACTTCAGCAAGTTCAGCAATGCGAAGGAGCAGGCCTCATATTCCAAATGTGCTAGGTGTTCTTTGAACCTTGCTCTTTTGGGAAAATCCCAATCCCAAGTACACGAAGGGACTTGATAAGGTTTTTAAAGACTTGGGTTTTGAAAGGTGATCCAAAAGATAAGGTAGACACACTTGAAAAGTCAGGAATATATACGAACTTAGTTGTAATGATTGTGATAAAACATATATAGGCCAAACCAGGCGACCCATAAGACCAAGGTTCCGAGAACACCGGAGAACACCTAGCACATTTGAAATATGGTATATAGGTTATAACTCCTGTGTAGCCGAACACACATATTAATAACCTCAAATTAGTTAATCAAGTTAATAATGTTAGGAAATTAGATGCATATGGAAGCCTAGACATATTTAAGAATAGTAATATAGAGTATAGTGAACACTCAACCAAGACGAACATTATATCTTGACGGTTATAGGGTCTTTCACGGGGTGGACATATACCTAGTATATAAGTAGCACACTAGAATAGAATATTTAGTTTTAACTTCTCCTGAAGATGCTAACATAGTTAGCGAAACACGTTATATAAAATCGGTTTGGGTAGTGTATTATCGTGCCAAAGGTTCAAGTCTTCGATATATTCACTATGATAAAGCAAAAAAAACGGATTTTCACAAATATTATTATGTGTTGACATTTGCGGTTTCATTCATTTTGTTCGTGACTACATGAAATCATACTTGCGATAGGTACGTACATATCTACCTACGTAATAAACACATGAAAAATATTTTTCAAATTCCCTGAGGTTGAATCACCTAGGAAGTGGAATGTCTAATTTTGTATGAACTTCTTGTTTGATTATTATTGTTGTATTGACGTATTCCGATTGAATGTTTTATTATCACATCACTTATTATCGAATTGAGAATTTATTAAACAAGTATAGCGGTATAGGAATATCGTATTTCATAATCATTAGATAGGTAATGGGTATTTAATCTATGGTATAGGTGATGTTATGTGAAAACGTGTTAAAATCCTTATTCTTTCATTTCCTATTTTCATTTTATAAAGAAATATAAACAGGAAGGCTGCTGTATATGATGAGCAAGGAATTCGATTTATTTTATCTTCATCATTGAAAATTACATAAGCATGAGTACGGTTACTTTCTTTGAACATTTAAAAATAAATATTATATATTTTGAATTTTCTCAATTATTTTTAATTTTCATTGGAATTTCGATAACTCTATATATTTATATTAGGCGCATTTTTGACGAATATTACTTTTTCTTACTCTAAATGATGATGTTGGATCGGTGCCAAAAGTTTCATTGACTCTTGGCTAAATAGTAAAATTGTCCTTTGCCACGAGAGCAGGGCCACCTCTGTAACTTTTGGAGTGGCACAATTTTGGAATTTTGGAATTTTGTTTACTATAAGTACAACCTACCGAAGGGATGCATGACTCCCATTATAAGTAGATATCTGATTATTTTTCATTAGCTGGAAAATCTGGTGATTTTCAATGTTTTCATGCATATCAAGAATTTCATTCGAATGATTTTCTTGAAAAAAGTGTATAAGTTGTGGATATTTTTTGCTATAGGCATTTCTATTGTTTGTATTTTCAATACCTAATTGAAAATAAGTTTGAAATTGAAGAGAAAATACCGATCCCAATTACATACTTTCTAGGAGGGGAACAATTGGGAAACTATTAAAAAACCTCAAAAAAACAAGATCAATAAATACTTCACTTGATTTTTTCACAGCAGATTAGTTTAAATGAGAGAAAAATAAGCTATGTATACATACACATTTACTCACATACTTAGGAATAAGGGAGCAATTGGGAAAATATGATTGGAAAAAACAAAAATCAAGACCAATCAATTCTTCACCTTGATTTTCTCACAGTATAGATATAGGTTTAAATGAGAGAAAAAGAAATGGATTTAATTCACCAAGTGTCCACGTAGTATGGAAATTTTTGGAAATTTAGTACAATGTCTGAGGACTACCAATCAAACAAATTTTGATCTCTACAGGATGTTTTGTGAACGCGGGGCTACATGAATTACACTTTTTTTTATTGGAACACCCTGTATTTTTTCACATATTTTGATTTGTCGTTATCTTGTCAATACAACCATGTCTCAGTTTTGCGTCGCCGAGGTAATTAATATTATTTCGAAAAATTATGGTACACAGTTGTTGATTCTAAAATCCCTATATATAGACGTCCTACTCCTCAAGATACCTATAGGTAAACTTTTTTTTTCTCGAATTTTCTCTTTCATGCCATATTAAACTGAACAATCATTGATCATTGCTATATGAATTCAGACATAATATAATATTATATGCTACAATAATAATTGATGAACAATATTTTGTCAAGTCTTAGGTGAATTATAAAAAACACATTATTTTGATAATCAGTCAAGATTTTATCAATTGATAATTGATTTAATAATCATGTCAAATAAATAAGTTTTTGTGGAGAAGATAATTAAAGATCTTGATATATAATTGATATCATTTCGTCGATATTATCGTAGTATTATTATAGGTATCTTAGATAATTTTGCGATAATTGATATTATGAGCTTAAAAAAGTGGAATAAATGAAATATGTAGACAAGATAATGAAAATTTGAAATATGTGAAAAATTACAAGGTGTTTCATTTAATTAATTCCTAATTCATGTAGCCTGTAGAGATAAAAATAATTCTGATTTGTAACCTTATAAGATATAGTTCCATATCCCCAAAGAGCTTTTCCACAATTCCACACTACGTTGTGCATTTATGTGACTTAACATATACGGTCGAGAAACTTTTCAAATTCCGAGTACCTATTTCCGGAGATGTACGATGTTCTCTGAACATTACAGGATATCCCTTTTCGTGGGAACCAGAACATGAAAAAAATTCTTGCGTTATTTGTTGGAGAATACCAAAATTGAGAGCACATTCATATTGCCACTTTTTACCTGTTTTATACGATGACATTGTGAGATTCACAATGATTTTATTATTACCGAAAATCCATCAATATGGTGCTCATAAGAAAAAATAAAGTTGATGAAAAGGAAAAGTGCCAATGATTTCGATATTCTTCAATAAATAACACCAGAAAAAAATTTAAATGATTCACCAAAATCTTCGTATCTCCTATGGTTTCCGAGATGCCAATGGTGGCTCTCGAATTTCAATCACCCAGTATATTCGTTCTTTACCAATTCTCATACATGATAAAAATTTGAAAACAAAATCTTCTGAAGTAGAGAATTTGCTTGATTCAACAATTCCTTTTTTTTCCCAATTAACAATTACCCACCTCGGGCGTGCAGTGCACATCCACTCCAGCGTTCCAGAGCAGGAGCGACACGTGGTCCGGCTCGGCCCCCGACCGCGCCATCTCCGCTATCTCCGATATCCTTCTGCCCACCACGTCCTTCCCGTTCACCTCGATGACGCAGTCGCCGACCGCCAGGCCGGCCGCCGCCGCTGCCGTCCCCTCGGCCACTCGGCTTACCCACGGGTACGGGTCCCATCTGCCCCTGCCGTCGGCCAAACATTACTGTTAGCTTTTTTAAATGTATGATAAATTATTGACATTCTTCATATACAGGACGTGGAAAGAAATTCTGAATTGAGAAAAACCTTATCACGAATCTGCAATTGACGTCTATAAAAATAACAAGTTTCCATCGTTCAAGTTCGAACCCCTTGATTGGGTGAAAGTATTGGGTTGAAGCATTTCCAATGGTTGATATGACAGCTGAAACCTTAGCTCGTGAGCTTTATAATGGGTGGATCACTCGTTTTGGAATTCCCTCAAAAGTAACCACTGATCAAGGAAGGCAATTCGAATCAAATTTATTCAGCGAATTTTCCAAATTAATGGGTTTTTAACATTGGAGGACAACACCCTATCATCCGAGCGCAAACGGGATGATTGAAAGATTTCACAGAAATATAAAAGCTTCTCTGAAATGTCATGCTTTTGAAAAATGGACAGATATTTTATGAATGTTTTATTTGAAATCCGAATATCTCCGAAAGAGCATCAAGCAATGAATTGGTTTATGGAACAACGCTGAAAGTACCAGGAGAATTAGTTCTAGAGAACACTGAATATAATTCAAATCATGAAGAATTTCTCAAGTGCTTGCGCTCGATGATGGATAGAATAAAGCCTATTCATACATCGAATCATAGTAATCGAAATATTTTCATTCACAAGCATCTTCCAGTAGCTCTGACTATGTGCTCATACGGGATGATGATGATACAGTAAAGAAACCATTTTACAACGACCATATCTCGGCCCCTCAAGAGAGATTGAAACCCGCTTTTCCAGAGAATAATGATGAACACACTACTAGCCATGCTGATGCTTCTCCAGAAGAACCAAAATCTTCCAGGACCTACCATCAACCGAGACGTGGAAAACAAGTCAAATATTAGAATTTGACATAAGTTTATTAATTAAGATATTTCAAAGTATTGTCAATAAAATAACTGGTAATAAATATACGAAATTTCTACAATAGTGTATCATACAAGGAGCGCATAATGATGGCTATTACCCACGAAGATGAAAGTAATCATCTGACTCATTCCTCCCCCTCACTGAAAAACGAAACAATCTACATCTCTGCTTCAACGCTATGTATCTATTAAAAAACTATGCGTCTCCAGGTCCAGACCAATATGTATTTTATTTTTCCTATTTTGGCCCTTGTTGTTCAATTTGATTAACTAATTAGGGTCAAATCCCAGCCAGGAGCCAGGGCAAAGGATTTTTCGAATATTTAATTTACGAATTAACTATTGTGGAGTTTTGGAGCATCGGCTGGGGATAGTCTCCTGCACGATTCACAGTTCCGTTCCAATTAACAGTTCTGCTCCTAAGCTGGCGTATGGAGTTAGTAACAAAGCCTGCACAGAACAGCCTATTTGGGCTGAAGAACCTCGATCGAGGTCGATGGCCATTTGACATGTATTCTACAACTACTACCAATGATTAGTAATTCGCACAATTTCTGAATCTGGAGTTTACCTGGTCAAATTGAACCCGCACTGGCTGCCCTTCCTTTCGATCTCGATCAGTCTCAGGTGCGGACTGGAATGCTCTTCGACGTCGATGTCTGACAACATGTTTGACTTTAATGCTGCAACCCATATTGGTTCGTACGAAAGCTTGCATTTTCACCTCCATGTTAATTTTTTCAAGGTCCATAATATTCTCGTTCGCCTCGGATAATTCACGAGAGAAATTCGTTGATCGATCTGTGCAGAGGATTTCATGAGCCTCCGGGGGCCAGTGGCCAGTGGTGTAGGTGAAGGTAAAAAAGGGCCACAATTTTTCGCCTCTATTCCTTACAATCCGAATATACATTCTCTTAATATTATAAGAAGAAAATTTAGTTTTTCTCTTCCCTTTTTTAACACTATTTTATTAGCTTCACCTGTATGTATATATGTATGTATGTAACCGACTCTTTTGGACTCGATTTTGACCCACTTTACGGACCGATTGCTTGAAAATTTGGCAGGTGTACATGGTTCTGGTGGCATGAAATTTTTTTGTAGACAAAAAAACAAAATTGCGACTCCAAAATGGCGGACGAGTTTTGTAATTATGATCGAGATCGAAGATTATGATTCTGAAAACTTAGTGAATTCAAGATGGCGAATCTAATATGGCGGACGAGTTTTGTAATATTATGATCCGAATCTATTCAAAAATTGTATCTGGTGGTTTTTGGAGTCAAATATTGTGTTTCTTTCATCAAAATTTGAAAATTCAAGATGGAAGATTCAATATGGCGGACGAGTTTTGTAATTATGATCGAGGTCGAAGATTATGATTCTGAAAAATTAGTGAATTCAAGATGGCGAATCTAATATGGCGGACGAGTTTTGTAATATTATGATCCGAATCTATTCAAAAATTGTATCTGGTGGTTTTTGGAGTCAAAGATTATGTTTATTTCATCAAAATTTGAAAATTCGAGATGGCAGATTCAATATGGCGGACGAGTTTTGTAATTATGATCCGATTGTAGTCAAAATTGATCCCTGGGGGTTTTAGGTGTTGAAGATTCCGATTCTTTCGTCAAAATTGGAAAATTTAAGATGGCGGATCCATTATGGTGGACAAGTTTTGTAATTATATGATCCGTTTCTATTCAAAATTGGCATCTGAGGGTTTTGGGGTAGCAGATTATGATGCTTTGGTCATAATTGGAAAATTAAATATGGCGGATACAATATGGCGGACGGGTTTTCTAATCATGATCCGATTCTATTAAGTCTCTGTGGGTTTTCGGGGTCGGAGATTATGATTCTTTCTCAAAATTGTGTACTTACAAAGAATATAGAAACACTAAAAAAAGTTTTAGTTTGTTTGGCTAGGTATCTATAAAAGGGTATTTCTTCATCAGTTCTATAATGTTCGAAAAACATCGTGCTCATTTAGAGAAGGTAGGGAGAGAAGCTAGGGATTTAACTTTTGGGGATTGTTCTGTAGACAAACGAGTTTTGGTAAAGAATTGTTCGACATATTTCAAGGTTGATGAAAGAATGTGCTGACTAGGCTTGTCGAGTACGTCTGACTGGTAATGCTAGTGATGGAATGTTAGAGATTTCTCTAGATCAAGAACATTACCCGTGGAAATATCTATCTAAGGTGTTCCAATGATGTCAAGGAATTATTGAGTGTGGCATCACTCACCAGGCGAATGGCTCGTCTCTCTAAGAGCAGTAGCATATGTTTGGGTGCTAAACCTCATTATATGATGGAACAGTATATTCTATAACAGGCCGTAGATCATGAGAAGCGGTTGAGGTGTAAAGTAGCTTTGCGTACGGAATAAAAATCCGAGTTTGAACTGTGGATAACTGTGAAGCCGCTTTCGGATTGATCTGACAAGATTTCCACATCAAACAGTAATGCTTCACTGGAGTCCGTTATATTGTTGATTTGAGGGAACCGAGAAATGTCTCCTTCGATAGTTATTTGAACTTTCTTCATATCTGGAGGCCTTCTGATCATCGTTTCATTTGATGATGTCCAGAAGAAACCTTACAAATACTATAAAAATCAGTGAATATGTGTTCACACCAATGATTTTTTTACATTTATAGCACATTTTACATATTGACATTACCTATATTTTATAGGAAACCTAGAATCTGAAGACCGATAGATTCTAGGGGAACTTTGTGAATCGATTATTACAAAATATGCTGTTTCGGCTTGCCAGGCCCCATCAGCTGCACTAGGCCAGCTAATAACATTATTTTATATACATTATTCAGAGCATATTTCACGAAATAGGCAAACATTTTTCTTCAATTGGTTGCAGATCAAGTATTTTTCGATAATTTCCAATTTTGATAGTGTTAAATAAAGTTACTTATTATTCAAGAAAACTTTCCTTTTCGTTCTGTTCTGGGACTTCTACGCCACTGATTCTATCTCTGTTTGCGGTCAAGGTTTGAAATATGAATGTTGGACGAAATTATAACTTTGTTACTCCAAATTTCAATGATATAAGTATCTCGACCAAACTTATTTCACTATGTAAATCACACCTGATAATATTCAAAAATACACCTTGATTCATATATTTTCGTGATAAAAGGGTCCGATATCAGTTCTGAAGTCCAAGCCGATGATTATTTCTACTCGGATAAACAGGCTGAAATTATGAATATGAAATTCCATGCGTTTATGGTTGGTTGTTGGTTGATGGAATAAAAACATCTAGAATTTTAGGATAACTATGTACTGTATTAGGTGGTTATGCAATAGTTGGTTGCATAAATGATGATTTCACATTAGCTCCAGGCAATAACATTGAATTTTATAGGTATAAATAGGTACCTATTTAGAATTCAAGAATCCGGAATGAATCATTCGTATACCAAAAACATCTAGGATTTTAGGATATCTAAGTATAGAGGTGTAATAAGTATGTGGCCAAACTTTAAGTGATGATTTTTTTTGAGTGAGACGAAATTTTGCTCATCACTTAATCAATTGAGCCGAAAACCGTAGAATGATGCTACAAAACTTTCTAATAATAAGCCACAAAGTTCTAAATTTAGCACAACAAATAAGTTCCAATAGACACTTTTTTGTGAAATGGAAAAATGGAAGCAGGTACCTATCCTTATCGTCAATTTTTTACCTCTGCCAACAACATGAAGAAATTTAAAAAGTTATCAATATATTTCACCGTTTTTATGTGAAATATCTAATGGCATATTATACACGCTCAGTAAATTTATGAAAAATATATACCTACTTGATTTGAATATCACATACCTCTTATATGCATATTAAATAATATTCCACTTATACCTACCACACATGTAAATTAAAGGAAGCATGTCGCTTTCATTGGCGAAGAGTAGGCCAAATAAACTATTATAATAAGAGTCAATAGGTAATGTTAGGTGAAAGAGAAAAAAGTCGAAAGTTTTCTCGACAATGTTAAAATAACTAATGCCACGCATTTCAATTTCTTCTGTATGAGGCAACAGGGACGGATTGGGGCTCGAGCATAATGAAATGGGCGGTTTTGCGGTCCCGCCAAAAAATGAAAAAACTCACTCAACTAAATATGCCATTTCACCCATCACTACTTCTAGTTACAAGTAGTTTGTCCATCGCCTATTTCATCTAAACCAGGCTTAACCTTAGTTCATCACCTTTTCAATTGAAGTTTATTGAAATAGGAAGGGAATATTCTTCCCCAAGAGTAGTTTTAGATTCAGTATTGTCATAACTATGATATTTATGCTATAATATACTTGTCTGATTTGGACGATTTTTTTTTCTTTTGAACATTTGGTGCATGTGCAAATTATAGTCGCATGAAGAACTCTTTTTTATACATACTTACCTGGTGTAACAATTATAGCGTTGTTTTTTTCATAAAATTTGTAATACTGTCGTAGAGTGTAACAATCACATTATATATAGTTCGAATACTTCGAATTGAAATTACACTTTTTCAAAATATCTTTTTTGAATCTATACTCCATTATCTTTCCTATTACTCAAGAAACACCATTTTATAGCTCAACATGATTTTATGGAGAATTAATATTATATATTGTATAATCTCTGTCCAGATTTAACAACGAAAAAACGAAACAGGATCCGAAGTCACAATTTAAACGATACTGTCAGCATTTCTGTTTCTGGCACGAATTTCTTGGCTATATTACGACGGCCCATACTTGAAATGAGAGTCCTAATGTCATTTTGGTCCAGGTCTTTACAAATTTGAATCACTCTCTGCCGTTGGTTAAAAAAAATACCAAATCGGACTAGTCGTTTTGACGAAAATATATCTCAAACTTTTGGATACTTTTTGGTGATGCGTTAATTTTTTGGGGAAGTGTATATTCAAACAAATATTTTGCAACGATTTTTGATCCCATCCATCCCATTCGTTTTGGTAATATAAAAGTGCATTATTTTGAATTCGAGGCATCAGCATCATATAAGCAGGGTGCCGTGTTTGCTAATGATAATTAGATAAAGTGTTAGGAGACGGAAACGGATGGATTATAACCGAAAGAATTATTTTTTTTCCATTTTCCATTATAGGTAAATTTTAACATAAAATCAAACGGATCATCTTATTTGGCCTCACTATACAAGTATATATGAAATAATACTAATATTTTTATTATTGTAGACTAGGTTTAATTTAATTTAATTTATTGCTCCCAGAAGTCCCAGAGGGAGGTTCAGCCCCCCCCCCCCGAAATGATGGCCTAAATCCGACCATTTCCCTTTATTTCGAAAAAAAATTGAATTAGCAGTTCTTTTTTCTCTGTCCGAAAAAACATCCTTGGTACGGCCTTGAATGTGTGAGTTGTCTCAAGTAAGGCGATTCATCGAGCGATTCATTATTCATATGAATTTTGATTTGTAAGGTATTATAGCAGTCGATGGTATGACATTCTTGAGATTCTAAGTATGCCTCGTGACTGATTCATTATAGGTAGAGATCCGTATCCCCATGACGTATCAATTTTTGCCAAAGGATGAATTTTCAAATTAGCAAAAACTGTGGAACTGTGGAACCCCAATGTTCAACGAGACGTTTCCTGCTCAGATCAGGTTATTGAATAATCACTTATGCAATTCAAACTAGATAGATATAGGTACCTGAATTGAATGAAAATTGCAAGGATATTAGAAAGATACATTGACAATATAAATTAACAGAATGTTTCCAGATCATCGCAGATTCAATGCAGAAGTAGGTAGTTAAACTTGCACTTTGAGATAGGTGCATTGAACCATCTATAGCTGAGATTTTTCACCTTCACCTACATTTATAGTTGGAGGAGAAGGATGTAAGGATGAATGAAATTGATAATAACTTTTTTAATGAAGGTCGATACAATTATCACAACACTTTATTTATAAGTTTATGTAATAGCGAATGATTTTTCTATAAAACTGTTTATGGAAGTCCGCTCTTTTTTTTATCTATTCGAGCGCACGAAAGGAAATTCCTATAATGTTCTCGGAAATCGCTTGTAACTAGGCAGGACAGGAAGAGGAGCTAGGTGTTGGAATTTTTTTTTAACTTTTGGAGGTTATAAGTTCTTGCGAAGACTTCCATTGGCAGGGTATTCCAAAGCTTCGCCGTTCTATAGCCGAACGAGTTTTGGTAGAGTGTTATTCGACGATTGTGCTGATTGGGCCTGTCGAGTTCGTCTGACTCTATTGCTAGTGATGGAATTATAGCAGGTTATTTCTGAGGAACATTTCCCGTGGAACAAATACATATATGATAATCAGCATTTTTGCAGTTACCTTTCGTCTAGTCTAGTTGGAGATAGGAAAAACTGTGGTGGAGAGTAATCGATTTAAATTTATCGTATGAAAGGAAGTTTTGGTAATTTTCAATAAATTCGATAAATGATGAAATGGAGAAGAAGGAAATTTTTCATAGATTTCGAAATTTGGATATACCCAGATTTTGTCTATACCTATACATATAGGTGTCCAGGTTTGATAATTACCAAGGAATAGTTTTTGCCCGAATTATTTTTGAACAAAATTTGTGGCTTTCATAATGAACAAAGATCTTACAAAAGAGGCCTGTTCGTTCGTATTGCTGAAGTTGATTTTTTTCCCATAGTTGTCTCTGTTCATGGCATGATGTAAACAGAGTCATAGAAAAAAATCAAGTTCAGCAGGTAGAGAGCAACTACAAACGAACAGACCTTATATAGGATATTACTACTTAGGTATAATCATAATTTTTGCAATTTCTTGGTATTTCAATTCTTTTTGGAAGTTTGGATACCTAATGGAATTTCTCGAAAATTAATTTTTCAATGTTATTATGTGTCACCCTGTAAATCTGCTGATATATCTAGTTTGTGTTTTTTGCGGTGGTGGTGACGTTCGAAATCTCCAGCTGATAACATTATCAATGATGTATCATCTTTTCATCTACATTCTACCAGAGTTTGTATCGATGATAAAACATATATTTTGATTGATGCAGTATCATATTATAACCAGGGGAGTCTTATATTAGCTATTAATTTATGCAAAATTGAATTTTGGAGTTATTTTCTATTAGGAAAATTTGTATGATGGAATAATGATAAATTTGGATCACTCATTGGTGTCGGTATTTTTTTGTTCAATTCCGCTTACAATGAATCATGCAATAAAAAACAGAATTATTCACAAAATAATTTTTATTGGTAAATTAACAAAATTTAACAAACAACCATGAGATTCATTCATCACTAATTCCTATTAAAAATCTCCATCTGTAATTTCATAAAAATAAATAAAAAGATTCTAGAAGGACAATTAAACAAAAAGATACACATTTTTCATAATAAATAAATTGTGGAATTTTTGTATACATCATGAAATTCCAGATAGAAAAGGCCGCAGCAGTCAACATATAAAATCATTTTTTATCACTGACCACTAAGAAGATAATATTGATATTTCGCTATGTACAGTCAAAAGCACAAGTCTTGTAATGACCTCTGAGTTTGTCTACCGATTTAATATGGTGTTGTTTTAATGCTGATATTCATTGAGTCGCTGTAAAATATTTGTTCTCGGCCGTATTTTGAAAACGTTTGTAAGTTGATGTTTTTTTTGTCTCGCCTGTACGATAATATTATTTAAACAAACTTTTTAGGAATAGTACAGCAGGTACCCAATTTGAATTTTGTATAAATATACCTACATATTTTCAAAACCTGATATTAACGCTACAAAAGTAGAAGTAGAGTACAAAACATATACATAATTGGTTACCTATATGAAACATGATGATTACGACGAGACTGGTTAATTTGCATTTCCCAGAATAACTCTCATATACAATGATTACGTGATATTACCACAAAATTCAGCCATTTATTCATCGATTTCTCCATGAAGGACATCATAAACTCAACTCTCGGAAAAATATATTACTACAAATAATCAAATAATATACCTACTCTATTTACAAAGGTGCCTATCTATGTATCCAAGTATCCAAAATAATGTTCGATCTCTTGCCTTTATCAAAATAAGGAAAAATCAAAGGTCTCACTTTGAAAATGTCATGAAGAAATTGAAGAATGCCTTCTCCATTTCAATGCGACACCCTCACCCTGTATATCTATATACACGCTTAAAAAATAATCTCAATAAAATGGGGGGTCGAGACCTTCAAAATGGAATGTTTTCTGAGCAAATGATTTGAATTGAATGTGTGGAAAATTTTGAAGTACCTACGACGCTCTACCGATATGGAAGAACGTCGTGCGAGGTTTTCACTTTTCTTGTTCGCTGGCAAGGCAATTAACGATCATACGTGATGCAAACTGTACGTGTTTATTTTTAATTTTAATTGCCGTTTTTATATCGAAGCAAATGAAGGTACCTACGAGTTTTCCATCGTTTATGGGTCGTTAAGTCGTTGTTCACTCTCGGATATCAGGCTGTTTAGCCTCCACTCGGATAGGGCACAATAAAAGTCAATCTCACACCACTCGAAAAACTGCACAAACTTAACAAAAAAGACACGTCGCCATTCTTGAACCCATGCAAGGCGATTTCGTGTTGGACGATGGCGAAGTTGGACAAAAATAGGGCAAAACCTCGGGATTCAATGAAGAATTAGGCTCGATTTTGATTGTACAAAGTGGGTTTTCAACACTCAATATCTCGAAAACTAATGAAGATATTCAGAACTTCAAAGAAATGATTTTGAATCATATGCTTTTCTCTTCCGAATGGTGCCTTCCAAACATTATATCCCCATTCCAAATAGGTACGGGGGATGTGAAAATGTTTAATTTTATCAAAAACACCCTATATTTTCAGGCGGCATATCGTAATAATCTATCAAATTTCTATGCGATCAAACACACACTGAATTCTTGAAAGAACACCCTATATTTTATTGCATATCTCAAAATAGTGATTTTTGCTGATTTTAAAAACATATAATTTTCATACATTTCATGGAGTAATACTGGGCGAATCGAAGGAATAAAACATGAGAATAATTGAAATTTTTGTCATGAAATCATCTAATTAAACTCAAGTTTAGCTACAACCAGGAGATTGCAAGTTGACCAGACAGCAAACTTGAATTCAGTTAGATAATTTTACGACCACAATTTCAATCAATTTCAACTTATATTCCTTCGATTCACCCAGTATCAATCCATGGAATGTATGAAAAATTTATATTTTTGAAATCAGAAAAAATCAGTCTTTTGAATATAAATATGAAATATAGGGTGTTCCATTTAAAAAAAACACCCCCCGTATATGGAATGAGGATATAATGTTTGGACGGCACTATTCGTAAGAGAAAAACATCTGATTCAAGATTTTGTTTTGAAGTTTTCAATATCTCGGTATCTCAGTTATCTTATCTTTGGAGATAGAGTGTTGCGTTTTCACGTGCACGTCCTAGTTTTTTGTGAAACGAATAATGCCGTAAACAAAATTTTCACAGTCCTTCATGTTTTTGAGATACAGGGCGATGTTGAAAATTTTCACTTATATAACTTTCTACGCATATTACAGTGGCGTACTCATTTTATTTCTGAAATGGAGCCAAAATATATTTTTTTTCAAATGGGACACCCTTTATATCCCTATCCTGTTCGATTCAGATTTCTTATAGCTCATCAAAAATTCACAATAGTTGATTTTTTTTAAACAAAATTATTTTGGCGCCACTGTATTATACGTAGAAAGTTATATGAGGCCCCGTTCTCATCCTACAAATAGGTTGAAAAGTAACCAAGATACGAGAGATGCTCAAATAGTGAGAATTTTCAACTCCGCCCTGTATCTCGAAAATTTGAAGGGCTGTGAAAATTCTGTCTGCGACATTATTCGTTTCACAAAAAAATAAGGCAGTAATGTGAAAACCGCAACAATCTCCAAAGATAACTGATATATCGGGCAAAAGATGGCAGCATTGAAAACTGGACACACTGTACATCAAAGTCTACATCGTCTCATGCGCCGCTATTTTGTCAATTTACCAATAAAGAATCATCATGAACAAATTAGTTATTTTATGAAAATTAGAGAATACCGAATACCTTCGGATAAATACGAAAAAAACCGAAACTTCCTAAAACCCTGTTTTTTTCAAGATATTTGAAGAAATTGATCGAAATTGAATGACACTTTATCATGGCACTTTTTCTTCCTCACAAGTTGGCGTTTTCAAATATGAAATCCGACGTTTCGTCTTAGAGAAACCATCATCAACGTATCTCTCTCAAATGCGGACCTGGATTTTTCATTTCATTTTTTCATACCTTTGGATATCCTTGAAGCTGTGAGCTATCACAAATAATTATTTCCGAATGTTTCGTTTACAAAAATTGACAGTTTAGTTTTGAATACGAAAAAAATACAGCATCCGTAATAGCTGAAATACCCAATTTGTTCCAAATTATTATTCATTAATAAATGAAGAAATTAGCGGCGCATGAGACGATGTTGTAGACTTTGATGTAGATGCAACAAAATCGAACCTTCTTCACCTAACTCCGAGGTGAGACGCCAACATTCCCGGAGCTTCAAAGTTTCTGCACGATATCGAACTTCTTCTTGAAATCCATCGCCTCCTTTTTGGGATCGAACTTCTTCCTGGACGCCAACTTAGCCCGTAGCTCCGCGGCGGTCATGCTCAGATTCAGCTGACCGTTCTCCTGCTCCTTTCCTTTGAGCGCCTCCGCGTGTTTTTCGGAGTTCTTGTCGGAGCCGTTCTGGGGAGTCTCCGTGTGTTTTTCGGGGCTCTTGTCGGAGCCGTTCTGGGGCGCCTCGACGTGTTTTTCGGGGCTCTTGTCGGAGCCGTTCTTTGGCGCCTCGGCGTGTTTTTCGGGGCTCTTCTCGGAGCCGTTCTGGGACGCCTCGGTGGAGATGATGCCCCCCTGGGGGTCGTCTTCGTCGGGCTCGGCCACCAGGAGCTTGGTCTCGCCCGCGTGGGACTTGATCAGCTCCACGCACTGGAATCAAGGGGAATAACAACTGGTTTATTAAGTGGAGAATTCGATTTTGGGATATGTTCACTGGAGACAATTATTGTCCTAAAACTCAGTTGCGCAGTAGATCAAGTTGCCTAATTTGCAAATAAATACACGACGTGTTTAAAATGAAGGCATTATTCAATTTATTTATTTTATAAATCGCCCACAAATTGCAGCATTCTTTCTAATCGTATATTCATTTATTTTTTTCAAATTGATCAGAAACAAAAATTTTGAGTGAATGTCATCGTGAGTATTATGTTTCGACCTCGGTTTCGACTGAACACATATTTCTAAAAAAAACTGTAATCCAATTGGCAATAATGCTTTCTTATGTATACAGTATACATTTTTTGGGGTGATATATTACTTTTATATATCAAGATTTCAGATATTCCGCACCAAAATTCTGCCCTATAATGGCACTTTTCAGTAAGTCAATCTTATTCAACAACTCCTCAGCTTCAACTTTTGTTGCAGGCTTTTGAAATGTTTCTTCGTAATTTTTATCTTTATTTATCTTTCGAATTTTCCCTTCTTGATGTTGACTAGGCAAAGGAAATATCTATAGACGTAAGCAGCTCAGGAAAATTCTTAGAACACAGTTGAACACACATATTTATTACCAAACCAATAACAATTGTTGCCCCCAGGGCTATAGCCTATTTAGACCTGTGGTTAGGGTGATGTCCCAGTCACTGAGTGCAAGGCAAAGTGCAAAAGATTTGTCACAAATGTCACATATGGAATGTTCATCGATGTTTAAAAATGAAATGAAATATCAACTAGAATAATAAGGAATTCCTCGAGGAATTCGTTATCAGAGCATGTGTGCATGTGGGTCTGACGTTTTTGAGTGTAATATGTTCACACAAGGTAAGTTGTTGAAAACTTTGTTATACCAATTCACTTCGAGTGATTATTTTGCAACTCTAATTCAAAATATCCATTTTTCAATTGTTTTTTCTTTTTTTCTTTAAAGAAATGAACTTGTTGCCTGATATATGGGAAAATGTGGGAGATCTGGAGATATATAAGTACAACAGCCAATCAGTTTACTTTGAAATATTGTGATATTTTTTCAAAAAGAAATCGTCGTTTTCAGTGTCACAAAAAAAAGGTACACGGGAAAAATATTAGATTTTATAATTCTCGCGTCGGGAGACAACACAACCAAATCTAATACTCTTTTCTCTTGTACATTCATATGCAGCGTGTGCGATTTCAAGTCCTAATTTGGAATCCGTTGACCGATTTTCAAAACCAAAAATTCGGTAATATAGTACTTCAACGAGCTCTCTTCAAATGCGTGGAAAATTTGAAATATTAAAATTTCCAAAGCCTATTATTGTTTGATAAATAGGACACAATTTCCTACTACCCTTATATTGCAATAATACTTTTCATTTTATAGAAACGAGGAGAAAATCCCAAAGAAACAGACATTATTTGATATTCTTGTTTTTTCAATCCCTATCAAAATCTAAGGAGTTTATAGAATCAGTTGAGTCGTCACTCAATGGAGAAACACATCGAATACCTACTTATCGGTCTTCTACAGGAAGGTATCTTTATATCAAACAATAGTTGATGAAATTGAAGTTGAAAATCTCGTTGAAAATGTATTTATTATGACCCATATATTTTTTTCTGGAAATATGAATAATAGTACCTAATTCGAGAAAACAGAATTTGGGAATTGTTATGATCACGTAGGTATTATCTACATCAAGCATCTGCAGTATCAGTTATTTCCTCGGTTACTTCATTCGAGATTTCCTTGCAGTCTATGGACTGTTAAGTCATTCTATTTGTGTTATATATTTGCCAGCTCCTCGGCCAGCTCTTTGTCAGTCGCGATGATTTTCGAAGACTGTTTGGTGAAGTTCATTCAATGATCACTTCACCGTGTACATCAACTTCTTGAATTTTTCTACAGGGTGAATCGAAAAAGAGAGAATTTTGAAATTTGGGGGTATTTCAGCTATGCTTGAATCGAAAAGGCTATATACGCACTTTTTCGAAAAAAAAATTGCTTGATATAGTGGTTTCCGAAATTTTGACCTCTTTAATAAACAATAAGTAGTGACTCTGAATGTTTCAGATTTGTTCACATGCTCGTTTGAGTGCTATATGATCGAGATTTTGATTTTGAAAATCGGCCCTTGGCTCATAACGGGAAAAGGAAAACTGTATTTAAACCTTTATCAACATGGCGGAAATGGCGTCAAAAAAATATTTGTTCGGGCAAAGTTACCATTTTTTTTCTTCATATTCTGCGAAAGAACCTCGAAAAGAACATATAATAAAAATCAAGTCCGGTAAATAAATTGTTCTGTAAACAATTTTTTCCATCACTTTAGCTGAAAAAACTACCTTTGCGAGGTGTAAAGTGTATTTTTACGGTACTACCATGGTAGTTTACATTATTTTGTTATTATTACTTTGTGTGAAATTCATTAATATGGTCATTATCTTATTTGATCTGAAGGTACTTCTGCACGTTTCAGCATATTTTATATTGTATAATGATTTTATAACCGTCTGCTGGATCTGGAATATTTCCTTAGTTTGACTGCTCGATCCCCAAAATATTATGCCAAATTTTGCAGTGGATTCAAAGTTTGCAAGATATATAATTTTTAGGGACTTTTCATTCAGGTATTTACGAAGCATACGAATGCTGTATGCAATTTGGTTTAGTTTTGCTCCAAGATAGTTATGTGTGTATCCCACTTTAAGTTTCCATTTATGAAAACACCCAAGAATTTTGTGTTAATTTCTATATTGATGTTGGTTTCAAGAAGTCTTATACTAGTTGGAGTTGTAATTCTTTGCTGTGAGGTTCGAAGAAGGATAACATGAGTTTTTTCTTTGTTAAGTAAGAGATTATTTTCTGTTTCGCAGAGTTCTGGGTAGTTTTAACTTGAACTTAGTAAATTTGTATCATCAGCATAGATGGTTATTAGGCTGTTATCGTTGTTTAATATTGATATTATGTCATTCATAAAGATTGCAAATAAAATTGGACCTGTAATACTTCCCTGTGGAATCCCTATTTTGTATTCTTTTATGTGTGACTTAGTGATTATACCTTCATGCATAATTTTTACTCTTTGTTTTCGATCTAATAGGTATGACTCGAACCATTTGAATGCATTGCCACGAATTCCATATTTCTCAAGTTCTGAGAGCAAACAATTTTTCCATATCGCACAGTTAAATCTTATGGATATACTATATGGGTATCCAACATGGATTGTGGATGACCATAAGATATCCGAAAAAGGCTCTGGTATATCCTATGGACGTCCATAGGATGTGACAGTGTGACCTTCTTGGATGTCTTAAAGATATTCATAATAGATATCCATAAGATATCAACTATGGATATGGATAAGAGATAGTATACCCTTTAAATAGAAAAAATCACAAAAGTTGGGAAGCACTCACGTCTCCCTGCGTTCGAATAATGTAGTTGTCAGTTCTTATGCATCATCAATTTTGGACGAATTCGTAGGAATCACTTCCAAACTTACTTCAAATTAATCAAATATGAGAACAGATTGACATTATTTGACTATTCCTATTCCAAGGTTGATAGAATCGATGATCTATAAATAATTATCAGTTCAACCAATCTTGGACTATTTGAGATGTTACACCACGTACCTCGCGCTGTTTTTGAAAACCGAATTAATAATAATAGCCTTATTGAATAGGACTTGAAATGGATATCCATAAGATATATCCTGTGTTAACTGGGGTGGTTCAAGCAGTCATAGGCTTTAGACAAGTCTAAGAAAATTCCTAGCAAACTCATTTTTTCAAAAGATCCTATTATTTTTTCTGTAAATTGAATAATAGAGCAGTTTGTACAGATCTTCCTTTGATATAACCACAGTTAAAAGAATATACAATATATAACCATGCTGATGCAAGTTTATCAGGTTACAGTGATTCATAATTAAATGATTATTACGGCCTAGGGTGACCAGATTTCGAATAAAAAAGAGTACAACGAAAATATAACAAGTTCGGTTCACCACCTGCTTGTGCGTCTTGCCGGCGATACTCTCGCCGTTCACCTCCAAGATCCGATCGCCCTGTCTCAGGCCGGCCGCCTCCGCCGGCGACCCGCCGTCCACCTTCCCGATGTACTGGCCGGGCTTGCCTTTTTCCGCGTGCAAATTGAAGCCGTACCCGTCGAAGTGCGCCCACTTCTGGATGTGGCACAGCCGCGTCACGGGCGTCTTCTCGCCGGACATCGCGACCGAACGTTGCACCGACTGCTATGCGATGAGCGGGAGCGAGAGCGCTAGTTGGACATCGCGTAACGGTCGCGGAGACGGACAGGTGTGAGGTGCGCGATGCGTGGCCTCCTAGTGCACGGTGGAGAGCGTACTGATGGTGTGATGGTGTCCTGTCCTGGCTGGTCTGGTGGTGGTGCCACTACCACGACCACAGTATTATAGACTAGAGTCTAGGGCCAGCGCCTTCTGAGGAGGCGAATTCACCCGAGCGCCGACAGTGGACACCTCAGCTGACACGATAAAATACTTCGAAGAGGGGAGAACGACCGATATTCGTTTTGTACCTATAATATGGAAAATTTCATATCAGAATTTAGTCTATTTCAGGTCTGATTGAATTAGTTTTTTACTCCATCTTCACATCATCGAATCTGATATACTACTTATATGTGACATATACCCATGTAGGCAATAATACCAGGAGCACGTGACCAGAGTACCAACCAGGAAATATTTTTGAAACTATAGAGTTCACAGAAAAATGATTATGAGGATAGGAGATACAAAAAAGTTGAGTGCTGAAGTTCTTCACAATTCATATGAACTTATTTCTTTTGGCATTCAGTTTATTCATTAGATTTTTACTCGATTTTGTTTTGATACTCAACCACTGGTTGATGATGTTTTTCAATTTCATAATGTTAAAATTCATGTAGGTACCTACATCTGAACTTCCTGTATAATTACATATCGTGTCAGTTCAACAGAATAATCCTCCCGCCGTATATCAACTGTCAAACTGACACTCTTTGTAATTATATATGCATCAAGTTATATTTTGAAGTACATAATATAATAATATTACTACTGAATATTTATCTCCAGTCCTACAAAAACAGCACTGCATATAATATTATAAACTACCGACCTACACCACACATTGTTAAGAACAACTAGATGAAGTGAATTTTTTTTATCCAAATATAAACATACATCGCCTTACATCAATCAGCATCAGGAGTCTAAAGGAAAACAATCTATCATAATTTTTGCAGACCAAAAATCATTTTCATCACCATTAAGTTACTGCCAATACTGCCCAGATAAAATATTTTAATTTTACATCCAACTCTGTATGCTCTAATTGTTGTTAATATACGGATCTCTCTATATTCATCAATGATTCAAAATTTCAATCCCCACATAGTTATGTTCAAAACAAACAATAATTTTTATGTTCTGGTTCCCACGAAAAAGGATATCCTGTAATGTTCAGAGAACATCGTGAGAACCAAGGGAAATAAGGTAGGAATTGGTGTTCTTCTTAAATTTCTGGAGGTTATATGCCTCGGGGAACACCTCCCTTGGCAATGTGTTCCAGAGCCTCGCTGTTCGTTGGATGAACGAGTCTTTGGAAAGAGATGTTCTGCAGGTTTCCAAAGTGACCAGGAAGGGGTGCGAAGACTCAACTCGACAGGTTAATCTCGCGGGGACTGCCAAGGGAGGAACAATTGTTGATATTTCAGAAGAGCATCGTCCATGAAAATATGTTTAAAATAGAGCCAGATCACCAACTTTTCTACGGTGTTCCAGAGAAGTGAGTGAGTTTGTGAGCGAGGCATCACCCACGAGACGAACTGCCCTTTTTTGGACAGATTCCAACAGTTTCAGGGTATGTTTGGGTGCTGCACTCCAAATATGGGAACATTATTCCACAGGAATTCTGTTAATCAAGGACATTCTTACGTTCGGGTTTGTTCGCCTCCTCAGAAGGTGCTACCTCTAGACTCTAGTGTATTATAGAGGCCTCTAGTGGTGCCTTCGATGGAAGGACGTGGTGTGCCGACTCGACGTACACGCAGAAACAGACGCAGACTTGGGCTTACTTGCTTTCGAGGAGCTTCTGTCGTTTTTTTGAATTGACTCGGCGATATTCGTAGTAGCTCATTGGCGTAACTAGGAGTATTTTCTGGGATGAGCCTTATGGTTTGGTGGAAAAAACTCCTCCTATTAACATCTACTTTTGATGTTTGAGTTGAGAGTGAGATATAAATTGAAAAATGATATGGTATAGATACCTATATACCCACCCTATTATGAAAAAGTACTATTTTTATTACACGCAGTAGAGACTCTTTAAAATTGATCTCGAAAATGGTGAATGCTATCGAAACTAAAGAGAAGTAAAATTTTTAAGTATAAAGAATATTTCCATATTTTCTGGCCAAACTGCCGAAAATTAGATCATCAAAAAAGTTGGGGGAAAAAGTACCCCTATGCACCACACGCCTCAGATCAAAATTTCGGAAAAGATTCAACATTTTCAAAAGTTAAATACATATACAAAATTTGGATATTTCATCACGAGAGGGTTTCGAAAATATTTACAGAAAATCATCATCTCGGGACACATATTATGTTGATTAACACTTGTTTCACTATTTTTGTTCTTATAGAATCTGTGGTTGAAATCTTTCTATGTGATTTCGGGATACACTGCAAATTCACTTATACAAGGTGTTTCGTGTTTCATTACTGATTGAAAATATTTCAGCTATGAAATCCTACACCGAAAGAAAAAACCTCAGTAATAATTATCAAATATTTGTTAACGTCAAATTTGGTCATAATTAATTAGCCATATTCATAAATTGAAAGGCTTATTCATCAAAATCGTATACCTGTTTCCATGCTTTATTTATTAACAAAAAATATCTAGGAATACTTTCTTCTGATTTTCGTGCTTTTTAAAAACAAAATAATGCGAAAAGAACAAACCAGGATAAAATGAGACGATTCGAACATTTTTCATGAAAAATATTTTTTGCGAGAGACTTTAGTGGTTCCAATCACCCCCTATCGATGTATCTACCATAATTATGTAATAACTGTGATACACAACGTAATCTTGATTTTGGCAAAATCTCCATCTATGGTCAGGTCATAACATTTGAACCACTGTGTATAATCGATTCATACTTGGTATATTCAACTCATATTTCTCATCAAAACTAAATAGGAATCAAATTCAGAATTCAGATCAATCTTCAGGCAAAACAGAAAACTTCTTCTTTTTTTTAACAGTGCGCATCCAATTTGAAAAATATAATTTTTATTGAATTGAATTTTCAAAATCAAATTTTATTACAAAAAAATAACCAGTCCTCAAATTTCAACCTAATTAGAGCCGAATTAGGATGGATTTCGTTCCATACAATAAAATTTGTCAATTATTTTAGATATTTTCGAATTCTCATTCCATTTTCACACACACAAATGTCAAATTGGATGAGCGGTCATAAAAAATAGGCCACATTGTTCATAATTTCCCTATACATCTTTCCAGTTATCAAAACATATCTAGAGATTTTGGGAAAGATTATATTTTCAGCCTGTGTTCAATTTTTTCAAATCATTAGACTCTCGAAAATAATACTGGCAGTATATCCGTGTTCAATACTTCATCTTATATTTTGTATACACCATATGTATACACTATATATCTCCCTCCCCCCCGTATAATTCCATTATCATCATTAGTCATAGATAAATCATTCGTTCGGAAATTAATCGGTTAGTAGGATGATTCAACTTATTCGTCATTCATTCGGGACCAGGTGGTAAATCAAGACAGTCTCATATAAGATGTCATCATATACGGTCGAATTTTGTGATAGACATTGAAAAATACGCGTAAGGAATAATTTATCGTTACAAACGGAGTGTTCTCTAAAAAATGAGTGATAGTTATGTGTTTTTGTATTCCTCATTCAATAATTCATATCGCAACAATGGAATTGCAGGAATTATTTTTCACTTTCTTCACGCTGGTGAGTTATTTTTAATTTTTTTATTATGAGTGTTAGTATAATCTGATAGGTGACAGGTAGTTTGAGCTGATACCACTCGATACATAATTACGCTGGAGAGGTTATCGTTTTGGAGATATTTTCTATATCGATCCATGTTACATAGCTCCTAGGGCGATAAGTGAAGTTGCTGAGAACTTTACAAAACCAAGTATTTGGTAGGTCTCGTCAAAATAAACTAATAAACTATACTTTTTTCCTATGAACTGTTTATTGAATCATGATTTGTTTTATGTATTTCAACACCCTGTATCTGTATAAATGAAGCATTTCCGCGGGCACAAGCTTATATAGACTTTATTTCTTGAAATTGTCTCAGGAATACTTCACTTGAACGTATACTTATGTTACTTTCTGTATATTCCTGAAAATACCTTCCTTTAATTTAATATTAATAACTTCATGTTTTATACTTATCACTGGAGTACCTACAGTTTCACATACAATAAGGAATTATAGCTATAAGTTTATCCATATATGATGTGTATATTTTCTGATATCAAAATGTTGTTACATGCATTATTTCCATTTATATAACAGTCGTACTGCTATAAGTGTATCACTATGAATTGAAGTGGGTGTTTGTACCCTATATCCATTGTTTATCTACGGCTATGATTGATTTGACAGAAAATATAACCTCTAAAATCGTATCTGACAATCAGGCGCTACTCACTTAAACCATTGTATTATACATGAAAATAGAAAAGGACGAAAGTTCAGCTGTGTCCGAACTCTTATCAAACTAATACCATCCAGTGACTCTAATTAAAACAAACCCGATAAAAATTTGTCAATCCGTATCGCAGAAAGTGGGAACGATTCTTTTGACTGTGGTAGGCTAGTTACCGCAACTGCCAATTTTTACCTGTGATTTTAACGGAGAAATTTTCGAGGTCGTCAAAATTTCTTTGAACTGGTCACACACGAATTGTTAAACCCTTATTATGTCCATATACTTCGATTGGAAATTTGTCCGGAAATACCCTGTACTAATTGTATCATTTACTATTGTATATTATATTTATATCCAGCCCGCATTCCTGGATATGGTGATTATTCATATAAACTACGCATTTTCATTTCATTTTCACACACACAAATATCAAATGTGCGGTCATAAAAAGTAGGCCACATTGTTCATTATTTCCCTACTCTTTCCAGTTATCGAAACATATCTAGAGATTTTGGGAAAGATTATATTTTCAGCCTGTGTTCAATTTTTTCAAATCATTATACTCTCGAAAATAATACTGGCAGTATATCCGTGTTCAATACTTCATCTTATATTTTGTATACACTATATATCTCCCCCCCCCCCCGTATAATTCCATTATCATCATTAGTCATAGATAAATCATTTGTTCGGAAATTAATCGGTTAGTAGGATGATTCAACTTATTCGTCATTCATT